TGGAAAAACAGGAGACAGGACAGGCACACAGCCCTATAATTCAAAGATGTGATTCAGCAAAAAAATATCCAACAACTTTGGAGGGAATTATGGGTACACTTGTTTATTTAATCAAATTTTGTTTAATTTACAATTTTCCATCTGAATATACCAGAAGTAATACTGTGAATAGTGATGAAATTATTGTCCCAACTGTCTGACAGGTGATAAAGACTCCACACAAGTCTCAACAGAAATGGCTACTTTGAAAATTATTATTTAGTTAATTAGTACAATTAATTGACTTTGGACAAGCTCAATAATTTATTCTATACTAAGCTTGTTAAAGCAGATAATGCCACTGAAAAGTAGTTTGCACTATTAAGACGCCTGTGGATCTCAGGCCACCACAGCCAACATGCTCGGTGGGAACCCTGTGGAACAGAATACTAACTTCATGCTACGGAGAAGCAGACTGGACTGCGGTGAGCGTCCGGCCGTCATACCCGAGTACGTGAGTAAATGTAAATGAGTAAAATACCTGGAACTCAGCCCTCGCTGTGAAGAACTGTTTGAGCAGCACCAGCATGTCTGAGGCCACCGTGGCCACGTCGGTCGCATACACGTCAGGCCTGTCGGTGTAGCTGAAGCCGGTGCCCACAGGGTTGTCTACAAATAACACACTGGCTGCCTGAACCTGAAACAGCCAACACACACAACATCAGCATGTTAACCTGCATTTCAACATTCCCATTGCGTGGAGTGACAGTTACAATACAAAACATTCAACTTACAAAAAGGGAATAATCGGTGGCGTTTTAAAGGATTTTAATGACGTATTAAAAGCCTTTAATGAACACCTCTGAATGGATTGTCCTCCATACTCCAGGGCAGTTTAGACAAATTGCACATTACTTATTGTTATATTTTGAGTTCATCAGTGCTCCAGAAACTGATCCCTGAACAGCTGGTTGAACAAAAATGGCCAATTACATTAAAACCTTGAACGTCATCATCTTACCCAGCTGGTCTTCCTGGGCTTCAGGTCCCTGTTCAAAGGACCAATCTCCTCAAAGTTCCCAAAGCCACTTCCTGATCCTCCTGGTCCACCCTGAAGACACATGGACACATCCTCATCATGTTCAAACACTAAGAGCAGAGGTGCTGTTTAATACAGCAAACGTTATATTGAGTGTTATGGGGTTTGGCTACATGTTCACATCACTCCTTCTTGTGTGATATTGCTTAATTATTTGTCATTTAGTGTGATGAGTTAATGAAGTTCTGAGTGTTACACATGGCACAATTACTGGTTAATTTTTTTTTAAAGATTAAAAAAATAAAAAGTACATTGACATTTGAAGAAACCGTTATCTTAAATGGCCATTTTGATGCAGGGATTGACTTTACTTCAACTTAATATGCAACGTGTCCAGGAGCGGTCAAGCTTTTACATAATTGTAATGGATTTGCCGGTTACATTTTAAAAATTTTGGAGGGCTGGCTACTAACCACGTAGTTAGTTAGTTCCTCGTTCTGCAGTTAAAAAAAGAAGCAACAAGGCTGTTACTCATTCAGCCTCATCACCGAAGGCTTGTTTTTAAGTTAACTGGTGGATGTGACTCAGACTCCTGTGCGTTATAACTCAACTTATTGAAACAGAAAATGTTTCTGAATGTGCATTACTGGTGACCATTTTCAAAAGGCAAACAAGTGTTTTTTGACTTTTAAATGCATCTTCTTGTTTCGACATTTCTTTCATATTCGTAATGATATGAAAATCAACTTGCGGAGACTTAAAACCTGCCTCAGTATTTTGGCATTTTGATGTTGCATTTCTATAAAGTTGGACTTGCAGCTGCAATTTGAACAAATTAAAAGAAGAAGAATGGTCAAAACTGAGGCAGCAGAACCTGATGAGAGACCCTTTAATGGGCACCAGAAAAGAAAAACATTTCAAATAAAGCAAGTTATTTGCATCTTTTGTTAGATGCCTGGTAAATACCCAAGTCTGTCAAACTATGTTCTAAGTGTGCAACACTGGCTTCATTATAAATTTGTAAGCTGTGGTCATTTCCAATCACCAATTTTTCCAATGACCGTGTATTGATCCCCATTCTGAGTAAACTGATAATACAAGCAGATATGGCGTTCACTACAAAGTATTGCCCAACACCACAATCTCTACTGGGAGTTGTGGAGAAACACATTGAGAAACAGACATCAAATAACATGCTTTGGAAAATCATCCCCAGCATCTGTGATTCGTTGTACAAGAGTGAACACGTGCAGAGACATGGTGTGGTCCTTTGATGTTGAAGTTGTCAGTAGAAGTCAGTGGACCTAATCGTGTCTTACCTGCAGCCACATGACCAGAGGCAGGTCCATGTATCCAGAAGACTGGCTGTCAGCATAATAAAGCCACCAGAACATGTGGGCCCCGTCTCTCACCTCCACATAGTCCCAGGCTTCTTTGCCGGCCAGGGGACTGGAGAGCCCTGCATAGGGTTCAATGTTCTGTTATAGCTTGGTATTCAGTTACAGTGTCACTTACATAATAAGTCTGCTAAATAGCAAACCAATATATGGGCCTATTCCAGAAAAAGGGGGTTAACAGATTCTAAACCTGATCCTGAACTCTGAGTTAACTAAACCTGAGAGGGGAAGTTTTCAGGTCCAGTTAGTTCAATCAACCCTGAAAATGTTCACTCTGAGTTAAGTGCACGTATGTTGAAAGAAAAGAAGTCATCTTCAATGGAGCTTTGATTCTACGATTCACATTCTCAGACAGCAAAATGAAACTTGAATGAATGAAACCAACATATGCCTGGTTCTTCGACCAGACTCATGTACTTCCACAATTGGGTTCAGCCTGTTAATCACTGACATCCGGAAGAGTCTGTGCGTCAGAATTGGTCCAGATGTGGAAGTAGCATCTGACAGTCATGCTGTCTGTGAGCCAGATATGGGCAGTGGAAACGGCCGTATCCTGGTCCAGAAGAAAACAAGCATTTTGGCCAAATGTGGGCCAGATTCATTTTGCTATCTAAAGCAGTGGAGTAGTGGAGCGAGAAAATAGCAGTCCGAAGTGCATCTTCACGTAGACTTATTGTTCATTATTATTTACAGTAATTACTACAGTAATGTAGAGTAAACATTTCAGAGCAGGAGCAGTGACTGACAACCTGACAGTAGTAATGTCCACAGGTTCAGTGTCAAAAATGCCTGACAGTAGATTTTATTCTGCGCTGAGGATGAAGCCACGATGTGTAATAATTCTAACGTTAGTAGAGATAAACATTTTTTTCGATCTTCTTCTCTCGACATAAACTTCTGCAATAAGCACTTTGATGTCGACTGCATGAAAGAGGAAATAAACCATTTGTCAGACAGGAGGCAAAGAGAAACTCAGGGTTCAAGATAACTATCTAGAACGGAAAACTCAGCGTTTCTCCAAACCCAGTGTCAGCAAACTCACTACACCGATGTTGTGTTTCCCCTTATCTTAACCTGAACCTACTCTTATCCCATCCCTGACCCAACACCGGCCGTCTCTAACTCACAGCAGGCGTGAGATTCAATTGTAAATTAACAGCATAAACAAAACGTTAGTTTCATTTTGCAGTCAGCTGAGTCAAGGCGTGAAATAACATGTGTTTACTTGTTGCGTGTGACTCTGTCTGGCTAGAAATCGTTACATTTAAGCACGAGTTTACTCAGGCTGTACGTCTTACCTTTACTGACGATGATACCGAGTAAAAGAAACAGACTGGTTGTTTCTGCCGGGCCCATTGTTGAAGCGCAGAGTTGTGGCTGGCGCTGTGCTGTACCGCACTGCTTTATTGCTATGAGTAATCACATGACCACATCTGGAGTCAGCTGACCGACGTCGTTTTTTTTTCTTCTATCCCACAGTTTTAAAGTTAACTTTGCAAATTGTTATTGTGCCATCAACCTAATTAAAGGGAAAGAAAATCGAAATATATAATGCAAAAATATATAAAACAAAAAGTTAATTTAAGCATAACAAATAAATACACGAAGAAACTGTGAATTTAAACTAGTTTAAATGATAATAAATAATAATAGTTAATAGTTTAATACAGGTTTGGGGGTTCCCTGGTTGTCCTTGCTTCAGCCTGAGAGGGCGGGGGGAGCACGATTGTACAAAAATTTCTTATTTTGTGATGAATGAATGGGAAGACCTACCTCCACCACAACAGAGGGCAGTGTTGTGAATGGGTTGACTTTAAAGAGGACACTGGCCACGTGAAGTGAAAACTTCCGGTAAGGCATTTATCCTTCAACATAAAAGGCGAAAAGTCAAACCTTTTAAAACAAACTTACAAAACTTTCAAAATAGAGATTTATTTTATTTTATACATATGTGTAAAATCATCATGGCCATCAATGATTGAGATCAAAATTGTAATGTAATAAAATAAAAAAAAATTAAAAAAAAATCCTTTTCACATTTTAAAATCTTCTTGTACTGCAAATATAAGACAGTATAGCAGCCAAATATAATGAAAGAGCAGCACTTTGATTAGGCTCTAAACTTCTGATAGATCTGCACCTCTTGAGGTCGTCCCTCAGGGCATGCCATCGAGTTGTGAATTGAGAATGCTGGCTGCCCAAATGCACAATTATTTTGGCTGCATCAAATAATTTTACTAAAATTTAAACGGTCCATCATGATTTCTTTATCAATACTGGGATCTAAATATGTGGCATTGCTGTAAATTAATATTTTGTGTCAGGCAGCACTGAAAGACTTTACATACAGTACTTCATTCTAATGTTAATACTTTATTTTTTGAAGGCCTGCTTGAAATATCTACGTATGTTAGTGTGGTGCTATAAGTCTTGATGTGAGTGTTAAATTGGTTGAAGAGCAGAATTGAAAGAGTATTTTTCTTTTATCGTGTATTTTAACGCTCTTATTCTGAAAACCCCGACCGGAAGTATTGTCCTTGGTTTTGCTGGCGGAACACCGGTAGCGTGTTTGGCGTGAGGTTTGATGCTCCCGCTGTCATGGCTGCTAATAGTAATAATTGTATCCGTGTGCGCCTACACTTTGACTATCCGCCGCCGGCTGTCGTTGACTGTCGCATGTGCTGGCTGCTCGTGGACCTGAACAAATGTCGCGTGGTGGCAGATCTGGAGAGCGTCGTCAGAGAGAAGTTTGAGTTCAGCTCGAGGAGCATCCTAAACCTCTTCATAGAAGATTGCTACCTGCCGCACACTGAGAGCATCTTCGTGGTGCGGGACAACGACAGCGTCAGGTGCGCGTGCTTTGACCTTTTCTGGGCTACACTTTGAGTGCATGGGGTGTCTGTGGTGACTCTAACTCACCTGCAGATGTATGGGGCCCTAAGACCTTTGTTATTTTAGTTTACAGTATTAATAATCTTTATTAATTGAGCACTTTTCTAAACACAAGGCAGCAAAATTAAACATACAGGTCATATAAGGCGATCAGTAAAAATCAATAAAACCAAAAAAATAAAAAGTTGTCAATAAAAGAAAAAAGCAAACACTGTATATTGTCCTTGATTGGTGCATATTAGTACCTAACTAAAGTTTCCCCCTTAAGACTGGTCAGCAGAAGTGGTGGCTGTAGCCGTCTGTTAATACATAGCTACTTATAGCTTTTCAATATCCAACTTTAAATTAATATTTATGATATCAAAGGACAATATCAAGGAACTGCAGAATTATAAGCTTGAAGATTAGTGTGTTTTTTATGCTTAGAAAAATCTATTCATTGCGTTACATTTATTCGCCTTGTAGTGATTGTGTATGGGTAAAGTGTTACTTGGCCAGTGTGTCACATGATCCTGTAAAACAGAGTGGACACTAAAGCGACATCACCTCACAGCATAGTTTTCCGGGAGGGTTGTTGTCTGGCTGGTGATTATCAAACTAACTTCATCCTGATTTTCCTCTCTCATCCCCACCTGCTTTTAGAAACTTAGGTGATCAGTCAGTGTCACCTGCTGAGCTCATTCCTTAAACATGTGACTTAAGCTGTGTGATTTACAACCTGCTAGTTTTCCTTTAATGATAATATCTTTATTAATTTTACATTTTGTATTTATATATTTAATGTTTTTTCTGACCTTTGTGTAAGTGCTCCTTATATCAGGCGAGGCAGCATGGCTCTACTTTAACAGGCTGCAGGAAATCCTAAAGTTGTGTTTAGTCAAATGAATCAACATATAACACAGTCTGCTATAGGCACTGTACTTAATGGGAGCTTAAGCAGGCTGTATGTTTACACACAACAATCTCAAGAGTTTCCTCATGATGGTGAGAAATGTTGTACATGTTGCATGGACACGAGCTGTCAATCATTTTCTAGGTGGCCAAAAGGCACTAAGCCCACCACCACATCAAAACAGGGTCAAGCAGCGAGATAGAGAACTGAGACCAAAACCTGAAGACAGAGAGCAAAGAAGATAAAGACACTGAAAAGATCAGAGAATACAAATCAGCTGTTTTATACAATATTTAGAACATAGATGATGATATGACAGCAGCTCTGGTTGCAAGTTTCAGTTTTCTTGTTTTAAAATTAATGTTTTCATTTACAGAATAATTTTTCCTGCTTATAATTTTGTATTTACATTCATGATCTAGATAATAAATCAGATTTTTTTTAAATTAGTGATGTATTTTACATTTACATCAAGCTAAGCTTGATTTTTCCTTGAATGGTCACTTGAGATGAGTCAATCCCCATAGACTCTCATGTTAAAATGTCCAACTTTACAACAGAAATAAACATGTTTACATGTCGACACTCAACACTGATGTGTGTTTTGGAAATTGTTCACACGATGTGTTGCTGTTTTCCAGGGTGAAAGTGGACTCCGTGGCTCAGGTGAATGGGCACAGCAGCAGCTGTTCAGATACATCAAGTAAAAACTGCAGGAAGAGACAGAGACCCACAGAGGAAGATGGGCCGGAAGGAAATGGAGTGAGCGTGCAATGGAAGGAAAAGAAGAGGAAAAAACATAGCAAGGAGAGTCTGGAGGGGGATGGCAAACTGTCTTCAGGTGAAGAGACGAATAAAACATCACAAGGAAAGCACACAAAGAAGAAGAGGAAGAAGGCAGAGGAAACTAGCCATGCTGCTCCCCCCAAACCAGCTGTGTCTAACAAAAAAACCCCAACTAGTGTGGCCCAGCCGGTTAAAAGCACCAAGAAGCCCCCGGCGGCACCAGCAAAAACACACAGTGTCTCCTCTTCAGATTCCAGTAGCAGCAGTAGTGAGGAAGATAAAGCTCCCAAAAAGCCACCTGTGCGAAAACCAGCACCCAAAACGCCCTCGTCCACCTCTGCTGCTTCCAAGGCACCTCCACACGCCAAACCCACCCAGACTAAATCACACCCTCCCTCCTCATCCTCCTCAGAAACAGACTCCTCCTCTGATGAGGCCCCCAATGTAAAAATCCCTCCGAAAAACAAACCTCTAACCTCTGCGTCTCCAAAAAGCAGAATAAACGACAACTCAAAATCTCATCAGGCTCCTCCTGTCCTGCAGTCCACCAACTGTGCAGAGAAACAGGCGACCAGCACAGCAACGCCTCCTGATGACAAATCAGCGAAGCCTCGTAACTCAGACAGTGAAGAGATCGAGCTGGTGATCCGCAAACCGCTGCAGCAGTCAGGACGCGGTCTGGGTAGGCAGCCATCTTGGAGAGGCTGCAGCCAGAGAGGAAACAGGCGTGGTGGTCCTGGAGATAGGGGGAGGGGAGGAGGTAGAGGGTTCATCAGAGGGCAAGCTGACAGCTTTGAGTTCAGCTATAATGGAGCCAAGGAACCGAGCTACCAGACTGATTCGCTGACCAACACATCAGTGGTCATCCAGGTCAGTCTGCATGTGTCTGCACCTTCATATACAAGTATATGTCTGTGATTTAATGACGAGAAAGTAGTGTAATACTGTAGGACACAAAAACTTTGACTTAAATACTTCATATTAGGTCAGTATTAAAACACCCTAACTGTATCCTCAAGTGTCTCCCATAAGAAAAGATGTATGGACGGATGGTTTAAAGGAATTAAATCAAACTATTACTAGTCATGAGAGATGTATTAATTGATTGTTCGTTAAGCACAGCCCCACTTAGTTACAGTTGCTACATCCTGTCTGTTCTCACATGTTAAATATATTTTTTATAATGACTGGTGCCAGATTTTTACAAATAGTGTACTCTTTAATGTTTGAAGTTGAGTCATTTTAAAACGAATTAAATGAATTAAATATGCACTTGATGGCTGTTTAATGATATTGTGCTAAAACAGGCTAAAGCTACATGCAGCAGGGAAAATGTCAGCAACCAGTTTATGATCCATGTAGAAGACATGGAAATAAAAATAAATAAAAGAGTATTTTTCTTCAATAGAGTAGTAAGTTCTGGCATTATATATAATAAGGACAAATGTAAGATCAGTCTTTTATTTTCTTAGCTGAATATACTAATGTTTACAGCTTACGTTTGAGAGGACAAATTATTCAGTCTATTCGTTACACTTTTTGGTTTTGGAAAAGCAAAAAAAAAAGACTATTTGTATATGAGGTATTGCTCTTATGACAATCTCAAGTATACTTCTGTACCTTGTGAAGAAATCCAAAGCTTAACAGGCTGGGTCGGTTTTTTAAGCTATGATTGGACAAGCGCTATTCAGNTGTTACACTTTTTGGTTTTGGAAAAGCAAAAAAAGAGACTATTTGTATATGAGGTATTGCTCTTATGACAGTCAGTATACCTCTGTACCTTGTGAAGAAATCCAAAGCTTAACAGGCTGGGTCGGTTTTTTAAGCTATGATTGGACAAGCGCTATTCAGGGGAGGGCTTTAGCAAGTGGTTGATTACTTAAATGAAATCTGAGAATGGTATTTACATAAGTCTTGCCTCCATCACATTATTTCCTTATTGGCAGGACAATAACATTGGTATTTATTATTGGTTGTGTCCATTATGAAATACTGTGTATAAAAAGGGATCAGGATCAATAATCTTGTGGTGTCTTGCATGTGTCTCTGAATGTAGAATGGGGCAGAAAGTGCCCCCAAACAGGACTACAGCTGTATGCCCCTGCTAGCAGCCCCTCCACAGGTGGGGCAGAAGATTGCCTTCAAGGTAAGTTTACCTCAGTCTTATGAGCTGGAATGTGTCTGCTCTGTTTTTGACACTGTGCCTCCATGCTAGCCCGCTTAGCTTTGTAGCTCCACTGTTCTGTTTTGAACAAAAATGGGAAAATCCTCTCATTGATCCACTGAATTACAGAGAGAAGCCGCTCTCAACCATGACGGAGAATATGAAAAAAAATGTAACACCAGTTCTCCCAGAGCAACAACAAATACTGATATAACTGTCTTTAAATATCTTGTCTGTATGGATAGGTTTCCCATTGACAGTCACGGTGCACATGCATGAACTGGATAGAAAACACCTGTCCACAATGTCCTAGTAGCTTCTATACACATTTTTAGTATTTTGAGATAAAAACAAAAAGGTTTGCTGGAAACCAATAAAGTTACTGTTAAATGGTGAATATGTATGTAACCACCTTTGAGAGATGAGACACATACCCCACTGAGAAACGGCAGTTAGAGGCAATGTTGATGCTAAACGAGGCTATATATGAAGTTAGCTCCACAGGTGGAGAGAAGAAGAGACCTGTGTGTGTCCAAAAACATCAATGGACAGCATATATTTAAAATAAATAAATAAATAAATAAATGCCAGCAGCATGGGATCATGGGAGTTTGGATTCCTTCAGTGTCAACCGTTCAGAAGCTGATTTATTCACAGAGGTCGTCTCCTCTCCAAAACAAACAGGCCAGGTGATTACCAGGTGTTCGGCGGTCACAGGACGTCTACAGCAGCGGGGAGCTGAGCTGTCTAACATTTACTCAGCTTCTTTCTCTGATAACTTAAGGTCCAGACATCCGATGACTAAAAAAACTTCATCTAATTAAAATATATTTATTTGAAAATGATGAATATCTAAAAATGTATTGCAAAACTGTGCCTTAAAACTGGCTAAAAAGTCCATTTGAGCTTCTAACAAACAAGCACAATGCTGACGCATGCACAAATGTGACTAAATGAAACGGACAGTTACCATGTTCAAATCACATATTTCTCTAGGTTTAAGAACTGATGGAAACATTTGTGATAATGTAAGGGCACAACTCAACAAAATATTTAACATAGGTCTAGTTGGTTTTAGACATATTATAACTTTAAAGGCACAACTAATGTTAGCATAAAAAACATGTTGTATGTATGTCAAGTTAAGAGGACTGACAGGCTCATTCTGGTTATTATATTTATAACAGAAGCATGTATGAAAATCCTGTGGTTTCCTCAAAATGAACCAAACACTGGATATGTCAGATGTGCTACATTAATGCCAAAACTCACAGTAGAAATGACTGCATTGTAAACAGGCAAAGCTTCACTTCTGACAAACAAGATCAAGATCAGTCAATACAAGATTGAATCAGTGTTACTGATCAGCCGCAGAGGATCACTGCACGCCTGATTTTTTTTCTGGATAATATTTTCCATCTAAAGCAATCAGCCTGCCTCTCTGTCATCTGTCAGTGATTTCTAAACATATGTCAAACACAGGCTCTATCAAAGGCTCTATCATTAACTTAAAGACACGGCAACAGTGTGAAGTATCTTACATTAAAGGGACAATATGTAAGAATGTGAAGCAGCTTATGCGTATTGATCTTTTTTTTTTTTTTATTGGCGACGTGTGAACGGACTGTAATGTAACTTAAAAATAAGATCTTCCCTCAACTTTCCCGGTTGTCTAGAACAGCCTGTGGACATTTTTATATGAAGGACTCGGGATGAATTATAAGCATAGAAATGGAGTCCGCTAATGTCAACAAATGACTAAAATGTTTGTTCCTGTTTGAACCAGTTACTTTAGAGATTTTATTTGTATTATCTCCAGTCCAACATTACTGATCCCACTTCTGTCATCTGTTTATAACTGACTTGGGATGGGATTATTGTGACGTGAGAGTTGTGATGGACAGCTGTTCTTTTGATTTCTGATTGGTGGTTTGTATTTTTCTGTGCCTTCAGATTCAGATCAGCCGTGAGAATATTTTATACAAGCGAAAATTTAAACATACGAGTTCAGATTTTTGTTCTACAAGCTCTCACATTTTTGCAACATATCCATTAGCTAGTTTATTAGCTGTGTAGCCCCAGCCAATTCACTGTAACCTCCTCTGTGGGAGTATAAACATCATAAGACAGGAGTTGATGGTATAACACGTACATTGAATCACTGAATGGATGAATGAATGAATCAATTCAACTCTTTACTGAAGGAAATAATATAGTGCTAACATGTTAGCAGTTAGCTCACCAGCTACAATAGTTCACCAACAAGCCCTGTGAGTGTAAGTAGCTGCATCACCAAGCTTCTGTAACCAAATACTTCTTGCACACTCATGCATGAGTTTCGCTGCGTCACTTTCAGGTGTTATTTGTTTTTAAATCAATAATAAAAATAAATGTTTGTTGGAGTCAAAATTACTATTTGCTTTTTTTTAATGTTGTTTTAAGATGAATTCATCTAATCTAATATAAATGCAGGCAGTAATGAGCCACGTTCATGATGTGTCTTTCATCGTGACACAGAGCACACATCTGCTATCAATAAAGGAAAAGCAGTAGTGTTAATTAATTCAGTGCATCAATCTTTTGTCAAAGTAAAAGACTGAACTTTGTGTGTAGTTGTGAGGTTTATTTCCTAACGTCATGTCTTTGTGTGTGTGTGTGTTCACAGCTGCTGGAGCTAGGTGAGAACTACACACCAGAGATATCAGAATATAAGGTGAGTGTCATCATTTCTGCCGCAGTTCTCCACAAAAACCTTGGAGATATCGTCTTAATGAAGTCTTAACTGTTCATTCACACTGGAATCACAAAGCTAACCATGTTACTGCCCATTTTAGGAGGGAAAGATTGTGAGCTTTGACCCCACAAGCAAACAGATTGAACTGGAACTGCTTCATGTCTCTCAAGGTAGGGATGATTTCACCGCTGACACAAACTTAATCACATTTTAAAATGCCTAGTTCAAAGATAATAAATCAACATGGGAAAGATTGGATTTCCCTCCAAAACTTTCTGGGCGAAAATTTCTTTCAAGGGTCAGAAAGCACAACATTTAGCAAAAAAGCTGGTTGGTGGAATCAGTTTAATTGGGAAAACTTCAGACAATTTTGCAGTGGGATCACGCCAGACGTGTCACCTGTCACGGACGGACCACGCCCATCTTTGAACTCCACCTTCATTTTGATCTCAACTACACACCCGAGAAGTTCAGTGACTGCATCGTGGTAGTTTCCTCTACAGTGGGTGTCTCCAGGGGTTGTATTACAGAAACCTCCTAACTTGCAGACACTATCTTAACTGTTTGGTAACCATGGTAATTAGGGTGTGGACCTGATTTAGGAAAAAAGCCATTACAGATGAATAGTTACCATGTCACTGCTCTTTTATTGCCAACAAACCAGGTGTAAGTTCTTCAATGAGAGGCTTACAACAGACCTTAACCATGTGTTGCACTTTGATGACAAAACATTTATTAGTAGATACAGGCTATTTTAGCCCACTCTCTTTTATCTCCTAGATTAGCATTGTTGTAACTTTCCTATGAAGAACATCTTTGGACCTTTCTGCAGCTGTTACCAACACTTCTAACGGTCTGTCTTGACGTTAAGTGCCAGTTGTTGGTTTTTGTTTCATTTTTTTTTTTTTTTTTTTAACTTTTCAATAAGAAATCTAATGGCTTACAAAAATACGTCAACAAGATGAGATAAGAAAAGTGGCGTTGGTTGCTGGGTAACAGCCATAAAGTTGATAACCAATGTTGGATTGAGTGTTTAGGATTTCCTAACCTGAGATAAGATAGGATTACTAAAGTTGGTTAGGATTTGCTTCTGTAATATACCAAATTGGGAAAATTCCTCTCTTACACTCTCCTCATATTAACATAAGACTTATGAATGGAAGTTTCTGTAATACGCACACACAGACTCACAAGGTGAAAACAATACCAGCAACGCTGTTGCAGCTGGTAATGACACCGTGAGCCTCAAATAGTTTTACAATATGTTATAGTTCAGGGGGTAAAACTTTCTTATTGCTCTTGGGTTTCCTTTCTGAGCAGAAGTCATGGAATTTTAATTTACTTAACAGAAACAGAACAGATTGGGTTGAGACACATTTGTCATTGTTCCTACCTTTCTCCGTCTCTCTCAGCTCCTGTGGAGCCTGGGAAGTTTGACCTGGTCTATCAGGACGCTGATGGCTCAGAGAGAGTGGAGTACGCCGTGTCCAGAGGTGCTTGGGTAAGTCTTAGCATAAAGCTACTACTTTATGAATAAACTCAAAAACAGAAATTCTTTAAATTGGTTAATCCTCAAGACCACAGCAAAATGAGGGATGGTCTTATTTCTATGTGACTTTAACTTCATTAACTTTTTTTTTTTTTTGGGGGGGGTGGCAGTAGGGCGGCAGTAGGGGCAGCAGGAAAACACACAATATCTGATATATTATCACCGAACAAAGTTGCTATAGCAGATGTGTTAGCAAACCATTTACTCAGCACAGCTAATTTTAGATCTAGTCTTAGTTTTAGTCATATTCAGTCGACCTCGCTCTTTTTATTTTTAGTCAATTTTTTATTCAACTAAAAGTCTGAAAGAGGATAAACAATTACGTCTGTAGAAATGCAACATTATTAGCAAATCCAATCCAACTTTTGCAATACGAGTGAGTCAGAAAGTATCTAGAGAAAAGAAAACTCTTCACAATCAGGAACAACCTTGTACAACAGTCCTGCATTAAATTCCACACTAATAATGTTGAGTTTTGTCAGGACTGTGCAAGAAAGGTGTTGATTTTATTCATTATTATTATTGATTTTATTCTTTCATTTTGTTGGCCTTTGTGTTGTACTAGATAATGTTATACAGTGTTTATAGTAGGGAGTACACAAAACAAGCCAAGTAAAAGACAGCTAACTACTGCCCAACAGACTTTATCAGAGCCCAAAACAATCTTCTACATTATGTGCTGTGCAGTTTAATAACCAGTAGATGTCACAAATAGACTACGTTTAGCCATGGACTCATTCAAAATCAACACCTGATTCCCACATGTGTATGGCAGTTAGGTTCTGTAGCTTTAACATGGATAAAATGTTTATTACACTTAAACAAAGAAAGTGAAAAGTTAGCCAACGTATCCAACTGGGCTAAAAACCTTCAGTGAAACTATAGTAATGTAGCAACGTCCCATTGTTGTGAGGTGCTAATACATGATATTACACCACTGACTTTAGTAGTTAGCTTAAAATCAGCCTAATGTTGCGTTAACTTGCCTCAGCTTCTTCATGGTGAGCCTTAATGTGTCTCCCAAGGTTTGTGGTATCTTACCAGGTTTTTTATGGCCACATTGTTTCCCCTTTGATAGAGCAATGCAGTTTGGGTCCCTGTCTGTATAATTGGCTGTAGACTATAGCTCTTACAATGACACAAACAGTTAAATTCAAAGCATCTCTTTTGTCTTTGAGCCCAGGTCTTATCCATTCACCCAGTGAGCCCCTCTTTTCTAACTACTCATCCAAACAGGAGAAAAGTGGGGGGACTGACAAAAAGCAGCTGCATATGTAGAGTTTCAGTTGTTGGCATTTGGGTGTTGTTAGTGGTATTATTTCCTGTAATATCCACACTTGACTTGTTTTGATCTTAGTGTAATCCTGATTTACTTTCCTTCCCCAGGTGACAGAGCGGTGGGACTCCCTGCTGGAGCCAAGGCTGGTCATTTAAATCTGACAGTTTGTTACATCCACCTGCTTTGGCAAGATTGATTTGCCTTTTTTTTCTAATTAACTTCATGTCAGAATCCTTCACCTTGTACTCCAGTGCTTAAGTTAAATTGAGAGTCTCCTCTTCGGATGGCGTATGTCCGCTAAAGGAAAAGGGATATGATGATGGTTGATTATATTCTCTTCTCTTTGTGCTTTTATACAAGTCACCACTTTGCACAGAAGAGCTACTGTATAGCAAAGTATAGTGGAAGTATTGAAACTGCTTTTAAACTGGGGCTGGATCAGAAATCCAGTTATAGATCAAAATGAGTGATTGTTTCCAGGACTGGAACGTAATGGTTTTATGTTTTGTACAGTTATGCGACTGTGGAAATCAGTCTTATAATAAACAGTTTTCTAATAAAACACTTCATTGTCTCTTTTGTCTAAATAAAGTTTTAATGAAAAAAAACCCTTTGACCATATTTGATCAAAATCATTAGATAAAATCCCAAGTATAAAGTTGTGAGATGGTGAGTTATATTGTCACTTTTTAAATCTAAATTATGAGACTAGGTCATAAATTTGAGATATTATGAAAAGTCAAAATTTACTCATAATTTACTTATATTTCAAAATGATGAAATATTAACATCACTTGGTGTGTCCCAAAACTGTATTTATACTTTAGTAATTGTACTGTTTTTGCATTTGGTATTTCGCAAATCAACATCACTGTTTTATACTAACAGGAAATGATACAGTTGCTGTATGCAGCTTTGGATGTCAGTCAAAAACTAAAAGTCATAATTTTAATTTAAAGTGAGACTAACTTTTGTTATTTGTGTTCTGTTACTTTTAATGTTTTTTGTTTTATGTAACCTGCATGTAAACTGGCATTTTTGTGACAATCCGTGTTTAAAAAAAAATATTGATGTTCATTTGCATGCATTGATTTGGCAAAAACCTTTACTGTACTGATTTGAACAAAGGTGTGTTTACTGCTTTTGGTTGCAACTTCTCATTTCCTATTAGAGAAATATTATTTTTTTCTCTCTGAAGTCCTTAGACTCCTTATGATCTTGACGTAGTATCTATAATTTTAATTTACCATGAGTATTTTATTGTCATTCCTAACATTATTATTAGTATTTTTTTTCTTTTTTGGGTAAATGTGCTCTGTTTCTTTTCTCTCTCCAACCTTTTATTGGAAAACATTCAAATATACATACAATACAAACATGTGCTACAGGAGTAATGACAGTGAAATAAATACAAGATGTAAAAACTAAAAAAAAAATATATATATATAATGGAAATAAGAGGATATAATATAAAAGGCAAATTGAAAAAACCAACTACATGCAATAACACTGAGACAATATATATACCATATTATTCCTCTTTAAAGAGTTCATTATGAAGTTTGACAGTCTTATGACTTTTTTAGTATTAAGGTCAAGAGTCTTAATATAGTCTCTAAATTCCATTAAAAATCCAATAAAATGTGTTACTCTACATTATGTATATGAAATTTACCATAAAGGATCATCAAATTACCAATGAATAGCCTACAATATCATAATTATTGTGTTCATAATATGTAATTATATTTTTGTATTCGATATTGAAATTATTTTTACTTTTGCAGATTGTATAATTGGTCAATCGAGCCCAAAAGGTAATTGAATGTGTGTATATTGGCAGAATAAATGTAGAAAGGACTGCATGGTAACAGACCAGTTTTATTAATTGGCAGTTGGCCTGTGACGCAACGCCTCGTCTCCAAATCTTCGCCCTTTTCCGTTACTTCTCGCGTCTCCAGAGCCGCCGATGCTGCTGCTTATGTCACAGCAGCAGCAGCAGCAGTCAATGTCTCAGTCTGTCCGGTCGAGCCGAGCACGAGGATGAAGGTGGCGAACGTCATTCAGATTCTCTTACAGTCCATTTGATCAAGAAAAAACAGGTCTCCCGCCGACGAAGCCGGCCCTGCAATGGAAGGACATGTTTTTCCCGACCAGGAGCAGCTGCTGCAGTTTCTGAGGAGGCTTAAGGAGGTTTTCGACGTGTGTGACGAGGATGCTGACGGCTTCATACGGGTGGAGCACTTGGTGGACCTCGGTCTTCAGTTCGGTCAAGGAGACGAGGTGAGAGGCATTCAAGCTGGGTGACCGTAGACAGCTCCTTTACACGTGTGTCCTGGATTTTACAAACGGTGGTCGGTTAACTGACATTTTATGAGGTTAATTAGTGACTGCAGCGGCTGATAGACGTTATAAGCTCGTGACAATAACAGACAACCTGCCTGTTAATGTCAGGTGTGCTACAGATGCTAGCACTGAGTGGCTCATCACTCAGACATTAGCTGGTAGCATGTCTGATAGGCTGGTGTGCTGCTCTCTGTCTGTTTTCCGTGATATTTAAACGCTTACAGTTTAAAAGCCAAGTGGGGTTTTAACAGATCAAGCTCAGAACTGTAGAAAATCATATTTTTATTGCACTTGCAACAAAAGCACTGGTATTCACATGAAAATTGTTGTAAAGGTGTTGTTTTAATCAAATGCAAAGACTAAGTCAATGGCTTGTATTTAGCAGTGTTAAAGTTTATGCTAACACACCTTCACCTAAAAATGATTTGGACATTTTTCAAGTCTGCACCCATTTTTGGTGTACATTATCTTTTTGACATCAATCTATAATCACAGTGACCTAATGTTAATAAGAGGATTTGAGTGTTAGGTCCTTGCACTTACAGTCAACAATTATACAAGGACAGTGCTGTTTTTACAGTGGTATCTACCACTATACTTTTTCTGGGTGTATATTTGATTTTTATGATTTTGCATCAATTTGATGAAATACCTTGATTTGTCAGGTATGTAACATTCTTCTATGGTTATTTTACAACATTTTAAACATTTTACAGCTGATTTTCCATAAAATGTATTCCATCCTGATATAATGATATCATCCTCTACCACTGGAAGTTTAATTACTGCCAGAGGTCTCATTAAACAAGAATGCAATGTAGCCTAAAGCGATGTGCTGCCTTGCTAGGTCCATTGATTGATGTTTGGTAGTTTATTCTCTACTGCAGCCTCTGAGGATTTTACTTTTTTAGCTGTGGCAGACAAATGGTCTGGAGTGAAGCCTTCCAGTGCCAATTTAACAGTTTTTAAAGATATTTCAAGAAGAGCGTTCATTAGAGGTAAATCAGACCAAATGCAATGAAGTGAAATGACTTCAGTTTATATCTGTGTATTCTACAATGTGGCTGATTCCATTAGTTTTAATAGATAAAATCTGGTCAACAATCTACACAAAAAAAAAAAAAGTTTTGTGAACATTTGTGGATGGCAGAAGAATGGGATAAACTGCCCAAATCATCATGTGCAGAGCTTGTAGAGACTTAACGAAGAAGCTGTAACTGCTGCCAAAGGGGCTTCTTCGAAGTACTGAATGAAGGGTCTGAAGACTTTTGTAAATGAGACATGTCAGTGTGCTTGGGATCTTTGTGTGAAGGACAGGTGCATTGAGGTAGGAGCACTTACAAAGATGTAGAGGGTGCAGATTGGCACAGACTGGCTTCAAAGGGATTTCTAAATGTTGAATCTGGTGTGCCATTTTGGGGCTAACGGAACTAGGAGGGGTGCAGGAGCTAATGTCAGCCTTAGGTTCAGTACCATGGAGAGCACACTGCCAATCCCAGATTGATCACCAGCAGTGCAGTACTGAACCTGGGGCTAGCAGGGGTGCCAGTGTTATTCTAGCCTACATGCTTACACAGTTTCTCTGCCCAGTTCATCAGCCTGTTCCAGTCCATGGATTGTTTACAGACTGAGAGTTTCTTTGTTAATGGCATGTAGATGCTTATGGGCCATTCAGTTGTCAACGGTGACTAAACATGTTTGAACTAGGCCTGATTCACTGTGTGTAACTGTGACTGTGTGTATGCCAACACTGACTCCAGATTGTATTACCGTCAGTCTGCTATTAAATCCTACCAGCAAAGACTTTGTTACAATAGATTCTCTATTACAGTAAACAACACACAGCATTAGCCATGACAGCCAAGGTTTCAGAGGATGCTGTTCAGCTTTAAACAATGCTTGGCTGTTATAAAACCACTTAGTAGGAAGAGCGAGTCACCCATTAATTGGGGTTGAGGGTTCAGTCCCCCGGCTCCTCCTGTCGAAGTGCCCTTGGGCAAGGCACTGAACCCCAAATTCCATCTGATGGTCAGACCAGCACTTTGCGTTATGCCTTTAACCTTAGGTATTAGTTTCTTTTGAGGGATAGTGTACATTGTTATACCTGTGTTAGAATAACTCTGTTTGGCTGCTCCAGGTTATTTGCAGACTGCTGTGTTGGAGAAATGGCAGGCAGTAGTGGATGAGGCAGGTTAAATCCTGGATGCTCTGATCATTCCACATAAATGATATCTAACAGTGGGAGTGGATTTTCCTTGAAGCTGTCATGGCGGCTGAGCATCCAGCGCAACATCACTAAAAATAACCCAGCTGTAATAAGAGGAAGCTGCTGCTTCATCTTCCTCCTCCCCTCTTCTCTCATCTCTGTGTTCTTTGTCACCATGGCGATGAGAGCTTCACAGGGAGTCTGGGAACCGATTGGCTGGTTACTAAGTAATGAAATGATCCGCCTAGCTACTGAAAACGGCCTATGAGCTGGTGTTGTGCACCAGTCCTGTATATTTACATTTGTTTAATTTGGAAAAGATTGTTCCCCCTAGTGACACATCCAGACTCATCAGTTTCTATGGTGATTGGTTTGTTGCAGTGAGCGTCAGATTGCAACATAACATCTTTATTCCTCATGTTTATCTTGCAACCACACTGCTGCTCTTATACTGTGTACACACACTTACACACACACACACACACACACACACACACACACACTAGGGATTATTACAGTACAAATGCATTATTTATCAGAGCACATATAATGCATTTTATACAGATGCTTCTTCTTTCTGTATTTGTTCAGTGGTATTTGTGCTGGGAGAACATTGTTTTTATGTATCAAGCATAGTTTGGTTCTTGTTTTCCTCAAAGGACCAACCCATGTTGTTCTCATTTTAACCTTACAAATTGTCTTTTCTTATATTAACCAATTGCTCTTATATACTGTATATTACCTCACAACATCCTCCAAGCATGTCAAGGATGTTTGAAGACAATTTTCTGCCAACTTTAATGCAGCAAGTAAGATCTAAAATTTGCTTCACATAAACAGTCAGTCAAACTCAATATATATTGTTTTAAAACAGTTAAAGCTGCAGATGAAATTACACTGCTAACGTACAGTGTGGTCATATGTGAAGGAGAGACCTCAAAATCTGAGATAGGTATGAGAGTTAACATTAAACATCACTCCACTGAGAGCTTTGAGAGCCCAGACTTGAACCTCATAGAACATCTGTGGAGAGGGTATTAGGCTTATTTTAGTTTATGATTGAGTGTAGATTGATGTACAAAAATAGACATTTTATCAGTTTAAAAACTGAATGTACAACACAAACTATGCAAAAGATGAAGAAGGTCTGAATACTTACTGATGCCACTATATCTTTAATGGTATAGTAGAGGTTTAGCCCATTCAAGTCTTTATCTCTAAGTCTACCTAAGCCTTATCTGGGATTTTCTTGTTGTCTTGTTCTTGTTCTTGTTATCCTTTTTTTTGTTGAGAGATAGACGGCGCCATATTGTGTCCATATTGTCAAGACCAGTGAGGCAAAAGGATTTGTGCTTTTGTGCTGTATGAAAAAATTAACTCAACTTGACTTTGGTCTCTTGCAGGTGAAGGCATTGACCAGGTACCTGGATCCTAACGCTCATGGGAAAATCAACTTCAAAGACTTTTGTCACGGAGTGTTTGCTATCAAAGGTAAGAAAAGAAGATGTGTGCTAAATACTGGACTTAATTCATGTGTGTAATGAGCTTTAGAGGAACTGAGGAGTGACTTTGTGGTATCAATCTTCTCATCTTTCTAACTCTAAATTAATAAGCCTTAAACTGCAGCTAATTTCTTTCTCCAGCACGTATCTGAAAGTTACAGTCTTTATCATCTTGAAATACAACAAAAGGAGTCTTTGATAAAGTGAAACATTAATTCAGGTTGATGGTATCACCCTCCTTCCAGGCAAAATGACAACAGACATTTGGGCTGCTGAATGGAAATGGTCATATGGGGTTTAATTTCCTATAAATCTTCCTTTCTTTCTTTCTTTCTTTCTTTCTAGGTTGTGGTTAGATACTGAAGATGGCTGTGGGTCCTCGCAGTGCAACCTCCAACCAGCCGTCTGTTACTGACAATGGTTACATTTACCAGGTACAATCTTTTCGCTGTACCCTGCCCACTCTAGCTGTGAATCTAAATTCTGTGAAAAGATGGATGTATTCTCAAGACGATGATATCATTTCAACCACGACAGCCCTTGAGGATAGGGGTAGTCACTGATCACCTTCATAGTAGGAGGTAGGGGCATTATAAAGCAGACGTAGATTAAAATATGAATAAATGTTATATCGGAACCTGTAATTATAAGTCATGTCACATTAAATGGGCTCCATCCATTTACACTACAGTTAAGTACAGAGTGAGGGACCAGACCCCACAGATTGTGAATTAGACAAGTCTCTCCACCTTCCCTTCCAAACTACTCTGCAGACACTGTTAGACACTGTTACCGCCTGATGGCACAAGTACCATCATAGTTAGTAAGTAAAACTGAGAATCAGTTTGATTTTGACATAATTAATACTTATTTTTCAATTCCTATTTCCCAATTTTGCCTTGTGTTTATTATTTAATTTTTTCCCAACTTTGTTTATTGGATTTTCTATAACACAAAAATGTCAAAAAAGTTGCATTGTTGTGTCAAGTATAATATTGAAAGTAACAGAACATGTCATGAAGTGCAGTATAAATACATAAAAATGTTATAGAAAAAGATGTTACTTCACAAGTTGTGTAATATCACAAGAAAAGTAAACCAAACACAAAACATACACATTGGTCACCAAGTAATCATTATATAGAAATACAAAATTCACAAGATAGAAAGGGGAAAAAAACTATCTTTCCAAACCCACTAAGGTTCATTAAGGTTTGATTAAAGCTGTTACTCTGGATTAGCAGCAAACACCAACCCCTCAGCATGTGAAAAAAAGATTTCCATGTTTTATTACATTTGGCAAGTGAACTGTTCATAGTTCATCTAAGTTTTTCCATTTTAGTGAAAAAGTAGTCGTTAAAAATGTTCTTGATCCATAAAGAATGAGAGGGGGGTACATGTGATTTCTGCCTCAATAAAATCACTGTGTTTATTATTATTTGTCATTCCTAACAATACATCTATTTTTTTAATTTTCCTGGCATAAATGATCTTCCATAGAACTCTGATTTAGGCAATATGTCTGGATTCCAGCATGCACAGCAGCATCAATGCTCAAAATATGAATATGCAATACATCTTCTTTACTGTGTGTTTGTTGCAGTGCATGATTGCTCATGTCTGTTAGAGATCAGCCCAGCTGAACAGTTGCTTAGCAACAAGAGAGAGCGACAGAGAGAGAGAATAGCTGTACTCCATTCGGCCACGCTGGTGCGCTGATAATAAATGATCAAGCATAATATTGTTCCCGTCGTTCTTTTAAATGCTTTCCACAGCAGTTAGTCATGTCGTCACTAAACTGTTGACTCTGCTGAATTTTGCTGTTTCACACTTTTACAGAGTCATGCGAGAGTAAGGCAGTATTTGGCGTTCCTCTGTATCACCCGCGTGATATGGACTGTCTTAGGTAACTTCTTCATCCAGCTCAGTTGGAGTTTAGCTGCAGTTCAGTTGAACCTGTGCTTGTTTTGTCACAGCGCTCAGCTGTAACTTTGCTTTCACACAGCTGTGTTTTAAACCCTGGAAAGGTCGGGTTTAGTTGAAGCTGTTCTAAACCTCTGTTCATCTAGATGACACAAAACAGCCCCAAGGACTCGTGGGTATGAAAAGATGACTGTTCATTTCTGATGCCGGTATTTATATGTGAACAAAAGTTGTGACATTAAATATGAATAAGCAATATATCATATTTAGGGTGTGTTTGTTGCAGCGCATGACTGCTCATCTTCGCTAGAGATCAGCCTAACAGAACAGTTTCTTAGCAACAAGAGAGAGCAAGAGAGAGCATAGCTGGCCGTGCTGTCATGCTGCTTGTTACGTGGCGGCACAGGCAGGGAAACCCTCTGAAATGGAGCGCAGGCGGCACAGGAGGTGGCTGATGTGATGCTGCTGATTAGCAATGGATGATAAGTGGGGGTAGTGGTCCTTATTGAGGACGAGATATTACAGGATGAACCATATATCAATCTGAACAATGTCAATCTAGAAACTCAGAATGTTCATCAAATATCCTTTAATATTAAGCAACACAGCGTCTCTGCTTTTGAGCTACACAGAGGGAACAGGCTGCAGTACATTAAAAATAACTGACCGAATTTTATTATTGAATATTGCTCAAAGAGCCCGGATAAAAAGACCCCATCACAGGAGGCTATCATTAGCCCACTACTCGTACTTGTTGAAAACCTTGAGATATTTTGGGTTTCTCTGCCAGTCGTGTTGCAGTTAAAGTGAATTTGAAATGCAAACAGTACTCTACACACAAAACAACACTGACAGTGGGTGGAGTGATATGTTGCAGTCTGTGCACATTTGCTAACAAACTAATGTTTCATTTTCTTTGTGCAGAACGGTGAGGCGAGGCAGAGCCCTCCGATTATCATGTGTACCCGGTCCTACCCAGAATGCAATGTGTACAGTGAGGGTTGTGGTGCTGATGGGGAGTGTGACATGGACAGCAGCACTGAAAACACAAACAGCTCTGACTCTTTGGACCCAACAAGGAAAGACAGGTCAGTCACATCAGTATGTGAGGATGAGCCTCTGTTAGGGCCGATCAGTGCCGCTGCAGGTGAGAGGATGTGAGTGTTTGATTTTATGTGACAATTAAAACACTTTGGACACTCAGGGTTTTTTTGCGGGCCCCTTTTTAAAAAGTTGACTCCGTCAGTTATCGTTGTTATTGTACTTCCAATGCAACCCTAGCCACCTCATTGGCTCAGCGTCTGTATCCGTCATCTCCAGGGAGGAGCAGTTTGAGGACTATGGTGAGGGGGAGGATGTGGAGTTCATTCCCAGCAGCCCTTGCCCTGAAGATGACAACCGAACAAATGGCTTCTCTGACCTGGGGTCCTCACTTCCCTCTAGGTTGGTGGTCAGGCTTGATACACACCCTAAATCACATACTCGCGTTTTGTTTTTCCGTCAGGCCTTTTTAGTGGCAAACATTTGGACTTGTCATGGAGGAAAAAGCAGATGGCACTAATAACATTACTTACGGCACCGCTCAGACCTTTGTCCCTGTTCCATTCTACATGCTAATTCTAGGTTTTGAGTATCATGAAAATGACAGAAATAATATGCAGACTAGAAATTGCTTAATTTTTCAGTGTGCTGATGCTACGACAGCATGTTTGTTTTCACCTTCTGAATCTGTGTGTGTGTGTGTTGTGAGGACCAGTAACCAGATTTAGTTTAAGACCCTGGGAGTGAGGACATGTTTGTCCTCACAACTATAAATGGCTGTTTGAAGGATTAGACTTGGTTTTAGGGTTGAGGTTAGGCATTTAGTTATGATGGTTGAGGTTAGGGTAAGGGGCATCCTATCCATCCTATAACCTATAAATTATTAAGAATTATTCAATTTTGACGGAGAACAGCTTTTCCAGCCTTGATTGCACTGGTCATGTGACGCCACTCAGCCAATCACTGCAACTCGAGTGAGTGAATGAGCTACACACACGGGAGAGATGACGTTGGAGAAATAGGTGTGGAAAGTGGGATAGAAGAGGGAAAGACAGAGAAGAGGACGATTTAAAGCTGTTCAATTATTAAGATGTGTTGAGATTGTTTATTATAAAAATGGTTGAGACTGTTGGAGTTTTAACCATAAAGAAGAAAAATGGGAAGTCAAGCTACACTTTTTATTTCATTTTGTAATATTAAATACTTAATATAATATTTCAAAAGCCGCTTTTATGTAGTTATTACTTATACAGCTGTTATTGTCCTTGAAATGATAAAAGAACATATAGTTATTATATTATAATTATATTTATTATGATTATTATATTTAATGATGATAATACAAATATATTATTTTATTATACATCATATATTACACAGATAGATAGATAGATAGATAGATAGATAGATAGATAGATAGATAGATAGATAGATAGATAGATAGATAGATAGATAGATAGATAGATAGATAGATAGATAGACAGACAGATAGATAGATGAACAACAACTGAACTGAAGACACAGTCACAAAACTTTACAGGTAGTTAAGATCAAAATGAAGGCCAAGTTTGAAGATAGCTGTGGTCTAACCAGTGAGAATAATGTCGTAATGACGACTGAGTAATCAGGGGTCTGAACATCACCGTGTTGACATCAAAAGACAGTCTTTTTTCCACACTTTTTTCTCCTGCAGTTGACAAAGCAAACATTGAACACACTGCAGCTAGTGAGGAGAAAAATCTAGAAAAACACAAACCAAAAGGCTTTTCTCACTGCCCTTGGAGCACTTCTCTCTCACTGACCTCTGTTGATATCTTAGCACAGTTCTGTATTTCAGTTATTTATGTTGTTGTATTCTTTGTAATTGCAGTGCAGGGCAGACGCCTCAGAAGATGCGGCAGCTTTATAACAGCGAGCTCCTGGACATCTACTGTTCTCAGTGCTGCAAGAAAGTGAATCTACTGAATGACCTGGAGGCTCGACTTCGAAACCTCAAGGCCAACAGGTGGAGCACACACACACACACACACACACACACACACACACACACACACACACACACACACACACACAACAAACACACATACACACACACTAAACACAAACAGACACAGAGCCATCCACCCAAATCCCACCCTCTCATTCTTTCTTAGCACCAGACACTGCACCCAAATCAAAGGGGTGGGGTGGGGATGGGGTGTGTTGGTGTGTGTGTGTGTGGGGGGGTGTTGCTATAGCAACCACATCCCAATCTGGTGAGGTGACTGCTTGTAGCAACAAAGAAACAATTTTTGGTTAAAAAAAAAAAGCAGATCATAAGTTTTGGGACGCTAATATTAGTAATAAAAGGTTCAGAGCCTCAACATTTAAGCAGAGACAGCAGAAGTACAGTAACAGTGATAGTATTAGCCGTCGCAATGACAGCAGAGGTGAACAGTAGGTGGATTGTTAACACACAAAATGAAACGGCGTGTGTGTGTGACTCAGTTCCTCTCTTGTTTCAGCCCTAACAGAAAGATTTCCAGCACAGCATTTGGACGGTAAGTGACCTGACCTTCCCACTAACGACCGTTAAAATAAAATTACTGCAGTAAATCTGTATTTGCATCATAAGAGGCTGATGGGTTCAGCAGCATTTAGCCGTGTGGTAAACAGAGTTCTGTAATGGCGGCGCACCTGCTGAAGCTCACACATCCTGTTTATCTTCATCGTGTTCATGCTTTTTATGGTTTCCTACGTGTCCTCTCCTCCCCGCAGTCAGCTGTTCCAGGCCAACCACAGCGTGTTTGGGTCGAGTCAGGGCAGCAGCACCGAGGATCTGTTCACAGACAGCATCGACTCCTGTGACCTCGACATCACAGAGAAAGTACAAAACCTGCGCACCAACACCACCTGCACTATCACACAGTTTCTGTACAGCGTATTAGTTAAAAGGAGCAGTCTTTGTGAAGAATGCCGAGAGTTGAGATGAGAAGATCAGTATCATGTCTGTGCGGTGAATATGAAGCTCCAAACAGTGGCCGGTTAGTTTAGCAAAATATCTCAGTTATACCTCTAAAGCAGGGGTCCAACACATGGCTCACGAGCTACCAGTAGCTCCCCCAAAGGTTCTGAGTGTATAGTCTGTACAAACAGTGGATGTACAGTTCAAACTTTAAGCAGCAACAACACCCCCCCATCATTATTTGTCAGTTTTCGGTCAAATGAGTCACTGTCAGGTTTGTTTCCATCAGATGTGTCGTAGGTGACATGCAGTGATAGCAACTCTTCTGATAACAGAACAGATATAAACTCAACTTTTCCAACTAACAGGAAATATGTTGCCATGGATACATTAAGTTAAGCTGTGGGCTTCAACTCGAGCCCTGTTGTTTTTACATTTTGGAAAATGAAGCGAACCATTGATGTACTGACAACTATCACTGGATCACTGAGTGAGGAGCTTCTTCTTCCTCTGGTTTTTCTCAGCAGATTTGCGGAGGTTTATTTTCAGTGGTGTTTTCATGTCTGAATGTTCAGGTTTGACTGAATCATGACTCGGATTTTTTGATGTGAGTTTCCGATGTTTTTGATACAAAATGTGAGTTTTGGATATTGATACTTAATGGCTTGTTAAATGATCTTATTCATCCGATTTGGTTTGGAGATCAGTTTGAGTGTTTTGATACGATATGTGAATAAATGTAACCAGTAATATAAGACACGAGGAGCTCTCAGAGGAGAAAAAAGGCTGGAGACCCTTGCTTTAGACTGAGCAGACCATTAGAGGAACCTGAAGTCAGTGTTGTGATGTCGCTTGAGATATATTTAGCTCAACAGTGTTTTCTAACAGCGCATTATGTTGGAGGTGTGGCCATGAAGCCATGCTCCTGGTCTATAACATTGCTTATGCACACTTTAGTATTCAGCTGATGCTCAATCGAATGTATCCATTAAATAATCAGCTTTACTCTAAGAAGTTGTGGCTTTTCCACTCATCAGTTTTGTGCTGACTGGGTTCTTTGTTCTTGACCATTTTATTCATCTTGAAATGTTTAAGCTGCAACAAAGAACAAAAAAAAAGTTAAATAACATTTTTTTCATTTTGATTTTAGGCTGCCTGTGTTGTCAACCCTTTACTGACATTAAACCGACCGTACAACACACAGTAAAAGATAAAATAGCAACCACAAAGGATAGAATACAAAATAAATTAGAATAAATATAGCTGCATAAGATAAATATGATTGCATCGGATGCGAGCACTGGAGTGTTTTGAGGAGGGATTTGAAAGTAGGAAGAGAGTCGAAAATTGTAAACTGATGACCTTCTGAATTTAAAAATGCTGACACACATTATACACGTGTGCTGTCATATTTAAACCAGTGGAGTCAAAAGCAAGAGACAGTTCATGGTCTGATACAAAGTGTATTAAAAAAAAAAAGGTCCTCGTTTCCACCACCAGCCACCTGCATGTCTTGTAGGAGGAGGTAAAAGCCTGGTTGTCTCCCTCAGGTCAGCTATCTGGAGAAGAAGGTGACAGAGTTGGAAAGCGACAGTCTGGCCAACGGTGACCTCAAGTCTAAACTCAAACAGGAAAACACACAACTAGTCCACAGGTGGGAAAACACACACACTGGGCATTACAAACCCTGTGTTTATTTATTCTTTATTTTTTTTCACACTGGCTCAACTCAGCTTTACTCTTACGAAAATATTCACGTTTTATTAGATTTTGTAAGTGTGAATTATCTGAAAATCCCATGTGACTCTTATCAGGTAAATGTAGCACATACGAAATGTCAGAAAACCAAATGGAATTAACGTGAAATATCTTCTATGTGTGACAAATTCACATAAGGTTAAAGATGGAATATACATATTCCATCTTTAATATGATAAACATTGCATGTGTTTACTGCATGTATGGCGTGTTTTTCTCACACTGTGTACGTGTGTTTGCGTCCCAGGGTCCATGAGCTGGAGGAGCAGGTGAAGGATGCAGAGACGAGGGCGGATCAGAGTCTGGAAGAGGAGACCAAGAGGCACCGGGAGGTTTACACTAAGATGGAGAGAGACAGAAACACAGAGATGGACCAGCTCTGTACCAGGTAACCTCATCAGCCCCCACCGTCATCCACACCCTGACAGGTGCTGCTGCTGGCTCTGCTTCTGACTCAAAACACATCAGCAACTTGATTACTCCCATTTTAAAGATTTAAACTGACCACTGCTGCCACGGCATGTAGAGTCAGGGCCTGGCCTGGCCTCTAAAAGTCTTGCTGCTGTTTCTGCCTCTTGTGTTTGTACCTATCCGTCAAATGACCACAAGTAGGGGTGGGAGATAAACATACTCAATGTATCGCAGCTTGTTCCACGTGCGATGTAGTAAACGACTACATCACGAAACACCAGGTACACATTGTCACGTTATTGTCTTAAGCTGCTGCCATGAAATCTGCTTTGGCGTTTCCCTTCTCTCGCGCTCTCCTGCGGCCGTATCCGAGGGCGGATGAGTTGGTTCAGAAAAGAAACATTAGTGAGTTAGGGTTAAGTGTCTTTCCCTGGGATCTTTGTTTAATGCATTTGTTGTTGCTTTGAGTTGTGTTTTTGTTAAAAGTCAAGTTGAACTTGGTTGTGATTTCTCCCCCTATCTGCAAATTTAAAACTGTTCCAATAGAAACCACCAATGAATAAAGAGTAATCAAGAATGTTTTAATGCAGACAAATGTTGCAGGGACTAGACACATCATGCTGTCATCACCACACGTCTGGTGCTATTTATGCATCAAAGGGTTAAATTGTGCATTTATGAAATGCTTCAGAGGAGATTTCAAAATAAAGAGATGTATATCGTTTATTTCTCTATAGCCTAAAAATTTTGCAATATTATTTATAGTTCATATCGTCCAGCTCTTACCAGAGGTTACTTATTACACAGAAGACAACAAAGGGTTTTCAAGAGTAGCAACACTCCTCATACCTTTTGTTTTGACAGGGCCACACAGCAGACTCCTTCTTCTCTTATGGTGGTGGATGGTTGTGGATTTTTTTTATTTTCCTCTCAAACCCCAGTTAACTAAATGATTTGCTGGACTGTTGCTGGACGGTGTAGTTCTCCTATTGAAGTTTCATCTACAGTACGTTAGAAGACTAACTGGTATTTTGATGAGAGCATGAAGCCTGCAGTTCCATACAGACACTGCTACAGTAAACCCAACCTGAAACAAGTATCTGTACAGGCTGACAAACCGATCGAGGACTTGCAGTGCTTGGCAAACCGTTATACCTTGTGTTAGATGATATCACCGTGTGTGTGTGTGTGTGTGTGTGTGTGTGCATGTGCGTGTGTGCGTATGCAGGGTACAGCAGTTAGAAGAAGAAAATGGAGAGATGAAGATAAACGTGTGCAGACTCAAGTCTCAGACAGAGAAACTGGACCAGGTGAGTGTGGCTCAATGAAAGGACAATTCCAGTTTATTAGATCAGTCATGATAATGTTGTAGTGAATGAAATCTTAAACAAAGCCCAAGGTTATCCAAACTTATTTGTTTCAAAAACCTAAAGGCAAGGCAATGAAAATGTATGTGTGTAGCACATTGTCACACACAGAGGTCATTCAATGTGTTTAACAGAAATACACGAAGCATAAAAAAAAGAAATAAAAGACTTAGTAAGAAAACGCTATAAGAACAGATTGTAAAACAGATAATATCCAATTAAAATGCAAGATTAAAAGATGAAGAGATGAAGGCAGAGGAGAATAGAGACGTTTTTAGCTTCTTTTTAAAGCCCGTTACCATTTGGGCAGATCTGATCTCCAGTGGGAGCTGGTTCCAGCAGGGGACAGCATAATGGCTGAAAGTCATTTCACCCTGTCTAGTTTTAACTCTAGGCTCCACTAACTGACAAGCTCCTGCAGATCTTACATATCAAACATTTCAGTAATATTTATGGCCCAGACCATTAAGTGACTTATAGTCAATAAGTAAAACTTTGAAGTCAACTCTGTGTCTGACTGGAAGCCAGTGCAAAGACCTGAGAACTGGAGTAACATTTCTTTTTTATTAGTTTTAGTCAGAACCCGAGCAGCAGTGTCCTAAATAAGTTGTAGCTGTGTAATGGTCTAATTAGATAAACCAGTGAGGAGAGTGTTGCAATAATCGGCTCTGGAAGGTATAGAGGCAAGAGTGGGTTTCTCTAAGTCTTGGTCAGACACAAAGTCTCTGACCCTAGCTATGTTTTTGAGATGCAAAATGCAGATTTAGTTGTAGCTCTGATGTGGTCACTAAAACTAAGTTCCCCATCCATGATTACAACCAGACTTTTAACATGGGTGGATGCTCTAGACTCCAGGTAAGCGCTAAGTTGCAACCCTCCTTCCTTGTTCCCAAATACCATCTCAGTCTTGTCTTCACTTCTTCAAGCGAGAGGAGAGTTGTTATTTCGCTCGTCAACTTTCAACAATCGTTTCCTCTCCAGGAGAAGCAGAGGATGACGGACAAGCTGGAGGACACTAGTCTGAGGCTGAAAGATGAGATGGACCTCTACAGGAAGATAATGGACAAGCTCTGGCAAAACCGCCATGAGTTTCAGAAGGAGAAGGAGGCCATGCAGGAGGTAGATAACAGATAACTCCAGATAACAGATACGCTACATGGACGGCGTTTAGGAGTTGGATTTAATCTGTTCTCCTCCCTGCAGCTGATTGATGATCTGCGCCGAGAGCTGGAGTATCTGCAGTTGTTCAAGCTGGAGATGGAGCATCCTGGGAAGGGCAAGGGGCTATCTGAGTACAACGCCAAGACCAGAGAGATTGAAATGGAACATGAAGTCAGGAGACTGAAACAGGTTCACACGCATGGAGAGCACACACACACACACACACACCCACACACACACACACACACACACATTGACACTTTGTTTATTGACATGGATGATTTTATTCTCCAATACTGGCTTATTTGGGCCAATTAAAGAGACAACGGTATGAGTGTATATGTCAGCCAATAACTTACAAGAAACGGCAGTATATGGAGGAAATGTTCTGTGTTTGCTTCCACAGGAGAACCATAAGCTTCGGGATCAGAATGACGACCTGAACGCTCAGATTCTCAGTCTGAGTTTGTACGAGGCTAAGAACCTGTTTGCCTGTCACACCAAGGCCCAGTGCCTGGCAGCCGAGATCGACAACGCATCCAGAGACGAGGTCAGTCTGCTGCTGGTGGTCGGATGTAATGTTGATTTTTAGTGATGTGCCCGTCTAATGCATTTCTGTCCGTCCGTCTGTCTGTCAGCTGGTCGATGCTCTGAAGGAGCAGGAGGAGATCAACCTGCGTCTGAGGCAGTACATGGACAAAATCATTCTGGCCATTCTGGACCACAACCCATCTATTCTGGAGATCAAAAGTTAAACACTCCACACACACACACACACACACACACACACACACACACGCACACACACACACACACACACACAAATCTACTATTTATTTACATCAGTGGTTTCCAACCTTTTTTGTCTTATATATACTAGAGCTGTTATTACCCCCTCACTCACTTTCAGTATCTAATACAACTGAATATTGAATGAAAATAGTAAATAATCTTCAGACTCCCACAAGAGTAACCTGGGTCCACATTCAGCCTGTTCCTCTGCGTGGTTTTGATGTGAGTCAAAGCTGAGAAGCTAGTTCACATATACAAGTAGATCCAAAAGGCAAAATTGCATTCACTTTATGTTTGTCTGCAATTTACAGATGTCCCCTAAACACCTCACATGCAGACTATCGGTAGATGCAACAATTTACAGATGTCCCCTAAACGCCTCACATGTAGGCAATGGGTAGATGCTAACTACAGCACACATCATCAGGGGCCCCATTTAGGGGCAGCAGCAGTGCACTGAATAGAGTCTTTACAGGAGGTTTAAGGGGGTTTATAGGCCCTGTTCAGACCTGGTATTAGAGGGAGAGAGAGAGATAAAGAGTGGGGCTGAGCGAATGAATGTGCAGCGCACAGGTCTTATAATGAAATTAAGTTTTATCCATTTGAAATATTTTCCGTTCATTATAAACTGTGTTGGACTAATCAGTCTGTGACAGAGGACGTCAGTAGAGTAGTTGGTCCTTCGCTGTGACCCAGGACACATTTGCATTCACACTGCTAAAAGAATGTGGCCACATGTGGTCCAGACCTCCTCCGAATGTGGGCTGAGTGATCGGATCTCACATGCTCTTGGGTGCGTTCACACCTGAACTTAGAGCTTGTGATTGGATCACCTGAGACAGATGTTAATACCAGGTCTGAACAGGCTCATAGTTGTCATTGCAACATGGCAATATGAGGGGCCATCAGGGGCCCCTGTCTCCCTTGGAGGCCCCAAACATTTGCCTGCTCTGCCTCATCTGGTGGAGGTACTGGTTGAAATCAGTGTTGAGTTTGGACAAATGTACTTTCAGCATTTTCACCACAGGACTTCAGTCAGCATCAGTGGAACAGCTCACATCTCCATCCTCACATTTCTTCTCCCATAGTCTGACCTCCCTCATGAATCCATTCACTTTATTATACATGCTAAATATATGTAAGTCCTGGCCTTCAAGTGTTAGGTTGAAGTCATTCAATTTGGTGAACACATCAGTAAGTAACTCTGCATCCTCAAACACTGCAGCAAAAGAATAGGAGTGCTCTTCTACTCCTCAGTGTGACGTTCAGACAGTATCAGTAGTGTTTTTCCACATGACAGCCAAGGGTAGTCAGTATGAAACAGCAGCTGCTCTGACTCACTGTCATGACAAAGATTTTTAAACAGTCTGTGATTCAATGGCCTGGACTGAATTGAATTAATCACCTTAACTGCATCATCCATAACAGCACTCAACATTCTGCTGCCTCATGGTGAATAATACAGTGGCTCCTTCTTATGTCAGGGTTTCCTTTATTCACTCGCCCGAGGAGCCCAGGTGCTCTGCCGTCACTGCTGCTGCACCATCTGTAAGAATGTGACCACAGGATTTCCACTCCAGATCGTCGTCTTTGAAAAAGCTGAATATAACCTGAAAAATGTCCTTGTCAGTTGTTTCTCCTGGAATTCTGTTTGCAAAAGCAAAAATGCTCATTTATATCCAACACGTCTTTATAATGCACAGAGGTCAAGAGCTGAGCTGATCTTTCATTTCATCCAACCGCAAAGCAAATTGAGCTCCAACTTGCCCAACAATAGTAATGTGATCTGACAGGAAACTCTGTTGTTTAATAATGGAGCTGTCTTGAGTGTCATATTTCTTGTCGATCATAGTTTCAGCTGAATCTGTGGCTGCAGGAAGAACCAGATCTTTGACTACAGAATGTGACATTTTTGAATTAGTGGCACAGTGTAAGACGCCTGTAGTGCTTTGCTTGACACACTTGTCGCCCTCTTCAGTGTAGTCTGACTCGATTTGAATTCTGACAGTTTTCAGTTGAAAAAGTCCTCAGTTTTACCATCACTTCTTGAGTGTTTGGTGCTTTGGTGCAACCTGAATCTGAAGTGACAGCAACTGGATAAACATGACCTCTTCACAGACTACTAAAAAGTTGACATCTGCCAGGGGGAAACTATTTCCTATTTATGAAATGACTTGGAATATATTCTTATATATTTTGGAAATGAATTGTAATCGCCAATCTTTCCATGTATCCCCTGCAAGCTGCGTAAGTATCCCTAGGTACACAAACCCCCGGTTGGGAACCACTGATCTACATAACCACAGCAGGATTTCTTTCTGTCCACCAACACTATTCATGAGGAAATCTGTCAATCACTGCAGATCTACATGTGCCATCAATGTTTTATCATTGTATATTTGAAGCCACTGAAATTTGGGGACCAGAAAATACTTGGGAATAAAAAGTATTTTGATGTAGACAAAGCACTAACTGTTCAATACAGAGCTCTATAGTTAATTGTCAATGAGTGATGTAAAGGACCAGGACATACCAGTGTCTTGCATGTTTACTATAAACCATTTGCCAAAGCAGTCAATGAGCAGTATATCATTTTGAATGTCTTGTTGCCATCTTCGAGGCAGCCATTAGTTTCTTTCATTACATGGTGGAATGAAAATCAGTTTGTAGAGACTTGAAATCCTCTCAAGTATGATATTCATGTGATCATTATGTTTTTTTTTATTATTGTCAGAATCATAATATTTCATGGCAATGCTGAGCAGATTTTTCAAACCAATCTACCATCACAAATGAAAGTCAAAGGGGCCATTTGGAAGTTTTCTCTGCTCTAAACGTGGTGGTGATTGTTGCTTGACGAGAGCTTCAGCCATCATTGTGTTTACAAGACAAGAGGTTATATTACGCGCTCTGGGCAGCTAACTTCTTTAGGGCAGACTAGACGCTACAGTGACTCGGTATTGGAAAGTGAAAAGGTGGTCCAACCAGACTGCGGCTAGCTGCTTAGCATGCTAACTTCAATAGAAGAAAAGCAGTTAATATTGGCATTGCTTTCCACCCCTGGAGACAGTAAACAAACAGCTATTAATTCTAACATTGGCTATGTACCAATAGCATAACACACAAATAGCTCCTTTAATTTTTATGCTGTGTGGTAATGAATGGAAACCAGTGGGGGCATCAAAAGAATAGTTCAGCCTTCCAGGGCTTGCACGTATTTGCTTTCTTTCCAAGGTACATGAGAAGATTGACTTCAATCTGATGTTTGTATGGAGTCAGGATATGGTTAGCTTCATTTAGCATATTTAACATTTATCGTGTTTGTTTAATCTGTATACACAAAGAAATGTAAGCGGACAATATGTAGTTTTAGGGGAGTGATGTTTTATCTGTTCATCGAGCAGCATCTCTGACTACATAGAAGATGTTGAATTATTTCTTTGAAAAATCTGAAACAAAAGATTTGTAAAATGGTCAAAAGTAATGTAAAGTATTTGTAGGTATGTAGTAAATAGATACAGCACACATGAACACTGACGTGTTTTTAGCTGTGATCAGCTGATTGTGTTTCTAACCCTTTAATTTGGCTTGTCTCAACACAAATGAATGTCTTCATGATTAATATAAGCTGTTTACTACACCACATCATTTTTTTAGTAGTATTCACTGTGTCACTGAGCCTGCGAGAGACAATTCAGTGCGGCCTTTAACCAGTATAGACTGCTCATAATGAAGTATGTAAAGGTGCCAAAAGCCAACATTATGTGCCATATTTTAACCTTTCACTGTTTTCATGCACTGAAAAAATGGACAGGTAATAGTTAAAGGACATGATACTCATTGTTATTGTTTACATTTCTCATACAAATGCAATAATGTGCATGTGTCACTATGAAATATCAACAACTGGAGCTGGAGAGATGAAACAATAACTGCAGAAGTTTAACAGACAGAGTTTCTGAGCTCTAGAAGAAACGACTTGTTTCATTGTTTTTTCGGCCGTTCACAAATCCGCTTAGAGGTGGGGCAACGTTTTTATGAGTGAGTAAGGTGGCCCGTACTCACTCATAGATGCAAACAGACAGAACAACAGACATGCAGACAGACAAAAACACAAACAATTTGAAAACATGTGCTGCAAATACTCAACACAATGGAAGTGTTTGCAGGGGACCCTAAAAGTGATGAACCTGGCTGGGACACACAAGTGCGCATGGCTGTATTAAAAGTAAAAAGTTATTTTTAGGGCACTCTTTGCCTTTATTCCGATAGAGACAGTGAGAGAGACACAGGAAAGTCAGGGAGGAGAGAGGGGATGACATGCAGCAAGGAGCCATGGGTCGGACTGGAACCCGGGCCACTTTTTTTCTTAAGTTGCAGTGCGTTGAGCTCGCAGGGCCGCTGTAAGTGAGCCACCATTCAGCTTGCAACATGGTGCAGCTCACATCCTGCTGTTGGTGTCACGCAGCTGCGCTGATTGACAGTTTGTGGCAGTAATGTGTCGACAAACTGGGAACAAAGGCAGTGAGGAAGAGGCAAACATGAATATAAACAATATAAGACTTAATGTATTAAAAGTCAGCTTTGCAAATGTTTAATGGCCAAGGAAATACATTCAGTGTGTTGTTTAGACCTCAGATACACACAGCGTGTAAATATAACTTCTTGTGTCGAAAATATCCACAGGGTGTCTTTAAGTCGAGCTGTTAATTCACTGTTTCGTAGCCTATTAAAAACACTGAAATCAGACTTTACAGATATGTTAATTAGAATCATTTCAAAATAGTTTTAGAAAAATAGAAAATATGTATTAAACTTTGTTCTTTAGAGAAAAAAAAAAGCACTTACTTACTGTCAGTAACCCACTTACTTAAAACGGGGAAACTCAGTTCATCCTTCAGCGTCATTGTGAACCTGAGCGAACAGCGTTATTCTGCCACTGTTGTAAATTAGTCTCACTTACACTGAGTTAACCTAAATATTTAACTTGAATATTTTTTCACCCCTGGTGTGACCTAGCTAGACCAAACACACCAAAAACTTCCTCCACATGCGTCACAGTGAGGACTGAGCTGCTGTAGTCAACATTTTATTATCTAACTAATGAAACTAGTTTCGTTCACCCAGTGATTCTTTTCATTGTTTACTTTCACAGGTTTTGTGTATTTGCATACGAGGTATGAACAAGTATTATTTAAGCAGTCCAGCTCTGATTTGGTCCATTGTTGCCACTGTAAGTGAGCTTTTTTATATTGACACCTTTATTTTGACACAGTATTTGTGATGTCATACATTGTAAATGTTGTACAGAATCTAGTTACTATTTATGTGCAAGTCATCCGGCTTATTATGAAGTCTCTTTGAGAGATCTGACACAAAACAACAAACTATGTGCTGTAGATTATAATAATCACAATATATAGTGCACTTAAAGTGTCATGTTCAAAGTATTTACCTGGAATAATGATATTAAACATGATGGAAAAATAATAGTCTGTCACTACTCACGTGTTCACTTTCTTTTACTTGTGTACCGCACATGGAACTATAGGTGACGATGTTGTACAAACTAGATGTGTAAATAAAACTCATTCGCTTTGGCATGATGACGTTGGTCCTGGTTGTTTGTTCTGTCCTCTGATAGATTCATGGCTCTCTGTAAATGAGACAGACCCAGGTGAAACCATTTAGAAATTATGGGATGGTTATCTGGTGCTTTCATCAGCAATTTAAACTAGTTTCCCAGTTTATTAGGCACATTCATTTGTATTTCATGTTATCATACACAGAGTGTAGTCAATGTGCTCAACAGAAATAATAGAAGCATAAAAAAAAGAGTAAAAGTATAAAAAGAAAACAGAAAAACAGTTTAAAAACAAGGATCATAACACATTTTTAATATCTTAATTAAAAGTGCAAGATTAAATGATTAAAGGAAGGCATTAAAGAGCAGTTTTTAGCTCCTTTTTAAAGCAAGTTATGGTTTGGGCAGATTTGGGAGCTAGTTACAGCAGCATTACCACTGAATGTCATTTCATCCTATTAGATACACCGATCTAGTGCCTTGCTGCTAGTAGTGTCTGATCTGTGGCTGAAGTAAGCTGTTGTTGGGCCACGACTGACATTCAAGTTCCCTTCAGGTGCGGTGCACACACAGGGATAATACAGGGAACTTTTCAAAACAGGGCCACGATACTGGGTACAGTAATAAACCCTTTTCACGGGCGTTGTTAATTACCTTAACAGAAGCTCAGCAGTATGATAAGTCAAAATGTCTTCTTTGAAAAAGATATTGATATTATACTCCAGTGGTGCAAATCCTAAAACAAATTTGCAGGTAATTAAATGACAATTTGCCCAGTTGGTAATCCTGCCTCGCTCTAATCCAAAGGAAAAGTACAGCCAAGACAAACAATACACCAGCAGAGTCTATTACCACACACACTGCACACAACACTGTCAGGCTCCTGCAACTGTAAGAAGAGTTACTCAAAAAAAAGCAATGAAGGGGTTTTTGCTATTAATGTAGGCAAAGCAGACATTTTTATTCATCCTAGCAGAAAAGCACAGTTGTAAAAAATAACATTAATGATGATTCAGTTCATTTACACTCTTTCTTACGCCCCTGTGATGTAGCGCTCTGTGTAGACGTCATTCACAGGTGTAGTTCAGGTCTCTTTCAGGTGAGACTTGGGTTTTTGTTGGCATACAGGAAGAGCAGCTTCTGAAAAAAAAAAAACAAACGGGTAAAGATGAAGTCAGTCAGTAACTGGTGTTCTCCTTAGCCTGTCCCTAAAGGCTGGACCAGGAGAGTTAATAACGGTTACTGCCTGAGCTTTCCTCTGGTGCCACCATGAGGTTGAAATTTTAACAACTGTTGGATAGATAATGAAAGTTGGCACTTTCAACTCCCACCAGCCTCAGCTGTAGCAAAGCCATCGTGATTTTACACATGCACATGAGATTTTAACAGCTGTGCTGTCAGGAGAAAACATCTGGATTTAACTGATATATACTGCTAGCTACATGTTAAAATACCTGCAGTGTTAATTTCAGGGAACCTAGTTGTTGGTCATTAGTTGTAGATCATCAGGGTTTGTTTTGTGAAACCGACCGACTCACTGACAACATGACTGCAGTTGAGGACAGCCCTGGACACACACAGTGTTATCTGTATCCTAAGTTGTCACTGTTTCTTCTCATCATATTAAACCTGTTGTTACTCTGAACAGAATCAGCCAGCTCCTCCTGCTTCACTCTCCGGAGGTGGAGCGTGATCTTTCTCCTCACTGTCCACCATGTCTTCATTTTCCCTCCAGACCTCTGAATCTTCAGCGTAATCTGGACTGAGAACCCTCTGAAAGATTCTCAGCTGATCCGTCACAAACATGATAACTGTCTCCTCAAGCAGCTGCGACATAATAACATGGAAGATGAACTTTGATAAATTGCCTTTCAGAAAATGCACAGCTGGTGTGAATCAGGTCTCTCATGCTGGATGCTGATTGACAGAGAGGAGCAGCAGCTGGGTGAGACACAAACATGATGGTTTGATCATTTCTATTTGTCATCGCTGAGAGTCTGATTTTATAATTAGTTGTAAAATTTTAACTTTACCTTTGGCCAGCTGGGTGACGATCATACGAGATGAAACATCAGAGTATGAGGTGAGTAAAAGACTATAGTACAGATATCTGTTCATTCATATGAATTCTGAATGACTAACTCAGCATCCGAAGAGCAGCAATTTTGAAAAAAATATATATAACAAATATACATAAAATATTTTGGATAAATTAGTAACACGTTGTTGTTCATAAAAGAGTTGTGTCTGCCTTTACAGTGAAACAAAAACAACATAAAAACATTAAAGAATCATAGAATTTCCAGTGCTACATATGTTCTGAGCTGGACTGAATAAATGGTAATTTCCCATCAACTTAGTATCAAAGTATAAACCTGTAAACCAGTGTTGTTATCTAGCAGAGACAATAGATCAGGTGGTGCAGGTTTATCCTGGTGAAACTGAATTACTATCACTGCCATATAGAGCAGTAAACATCTTCATGAGTCCAGCATCAACACCTCAAGTTATAAAACATTTAAAACTAAATCATTTTTTATCAATGTTGGTATAGATTAAGGTTTATAAAAATACTTACATACTCTTAGATTAATTAATTAGGTATAAAAGTCATGCATTGAAAATGTCACTTAAGTAAAAGTATTCAAGTATCATTAGCAAAATGTACTTAAAGTAAAAGTAAAGGTACTCAAAATGAAGAAAAACAACACATTTATATGAGTGGATTATAATCACTGGTGCAATAATGTGTAAGTAGCAGTTTACTGCTGTAGTGGGTCAAAGTGAAGCGAATTTTAATCTTCATATATTGATGATAGTTTAATGTATAACAGTGCATCATATCTAATGAGCTCATAAGTGTAAGTAAAATACTTCCTAAATGCAGTGGAGTAGCAGTAGGTAAGAAAACAGCATGAAATGAAAATACTCTAAACATACTAAAAAAGTTAGACCAGCAAGTTCCACCATGGCTGAATTTGTTCTTGTGATATTTATAATAAATAAATAAAAAGATTAATGTACATTTTTACTTATCTTATTCATACATATATCAAGTTTGGGCTTCTAAAAGAAGAAAAGACAGATATCCATATATTGAGTCTAAGTGTTGTTACACTCCGGTCCAGTGGGTGGCGGTAATGCCCTGTGTGCTTCGATTTGTCCGCCACCAAAATGCTCATTTCACAGAAGAAATATTTTTCTTTTCGGAAGAAGATCCCGACAAAGCGGCCCTATTTCTTTTCAGCCAGAAAAAGTCGAAGAATCCGAAAACCGACGATGTACGCCAGAACAAACACCGGCAGCACACACGGAGACTTTCAAGATAGAAACGGAGTAAATTATGTGACATCGACAGAGTCCTTCGGTCACTGCTCTCAATTGTTCTGGAAAAAGGATCCCAACGACTCCGGAGTAAGAAAGCCAGCTGCCACCACCGTTAGCTAGCGAGCCCAGCTGACAATTAGCTGTATCAGACGGCTAATGGAGCAGCAGCTTGATTACTAAGCATTGAGTCAGCTATCTCTTTTACACATGTTTGTTGGTTGAGTTTAGCAACACCGGGTAATAATATGCTACAAGTTGTGTCACAGAACAGCAAACCTGCAAACATAGCCTCCGTCATGCTGAGCGGCTCATGGCCTAGTTTGACTCTTAGCTGCCGAGCTAAGTGGCTAGTAATTATGAGCTGCTGCACATTATATCTGTTAAACTCCATTAATGGTTTGGTGAAATTTTCATTGCGAGTCTATCGTTGCTGTGTGCTGAACATACGCCAGAGGTTTAGGAAAATGTTTATTAATGTAGCCAAACATTAGCGAGCTAATGCTAACATCAGACAACACTGGCTAAATGGGTACGGTTAGCTAACACCGGAGCCTGTGCAAAACAAGGCAGCGCTGGAAAGCTGCATTTTGCTTTTGGGCACAGCCTTGTATAAAACTGTTATTTTAAAATGGTCAGCTCCAATGTGTTGAACTACAGGGAATTTATTTGAGCAGTTAAGGCAAAAGTGCATGCACGCGGCCTGCAATATTGTTAGCGAACAGCGCAAAGTAAACACGACCGGGCTGTCCCACAGGAAACGGTAGCGGAAGACGCCCCGCGGAGGACTTTGAAAGACCTCTTTGTGATGCCAGACTGTGCGGTTCATTCATGGTCGCTCTCTGCCGAGAGATTATCTGCAAAGCGCACACAGACACCCACACATTAATTTATATATGCTAACATTTTTTATATTTGAATGTGAGCGAATTTACAGGCGACAGTTGTATGATCTTTCCTCCTTCTGCCAGTCAATCTGCATCTAATTACACAGTGTACGGGGATATCGGGTAATCTCAACTGGTTTGCTGAATTTCCCCAACATTTTTTAACATCAATGATTTTCATTATGTTTTTGTGTGACCCAGCTGGACACACTGAGGAACACTTAGGCGCTCTTCATGAATAGCAGTATGGAAATGATTTGGAGGGAAATGACAAGCAGATTCTTTCTAGAGGGGTGTGTGTTTTCCCCTCTTTTAAAAAAAACAAAAACAAACAACTAATATGTCAATTAGGTTCTTTAAGCTGTAGGTCCATGTATTGATGCACAACTTTTATTTTCGTGGTGTCTTTTTAAAGTAATTTTTGTTATTTCAGTTGTCTGATGTTGAAACCACTCCTGCTGAGAGAACTCATTGGTTTGCAACTTATAAAAACTAACTTTGATAACACATAAATACAGCATTAAGAGCTGTGCTGCAGATGCAGAAATACTGCAAATGGTTAACAACAGCAGAAGTTTCTGGTGAACTCTAAAATTGCATGCCCTTACAAAACATTAGCCGGCTCTGTTTGTTTTAGCTGGTTGCACAGGTCCAGTTTTATAGGAGGCTGTACATCCATTGTCAGCCTTTTCCCAATTAGCAGTGTGTAGTGATCAAGGAGAACTTGCATTGTTGTGAATCATTTGTAGTGTCTCTGTTGGGTTGTTTGCATTTTTGTATTAGCAAGGCGATTCTACCAGCCATGTTCACTATTGGTCAAAAGTCTCAGAAAACCCAATTCTTCTAGTTTTTTTTAAACTACAGGTGCAACATATTTGTGGGAACTTCTGCAACAGTGTTCGAACAAACTTTCCATTATAGAAATAACATCATGAGCATGTTCAGCTGCTGAATTAGTAAAAAAAATCTTTAGATTAAATTCAGATTCAATGAGTACTTGATTTCAAAATGTAATTGTTTATTTGTGCTTTGCTTTGATTCCAGAAAGACAATTAATTATATAAATTTACAGCCAAATACAAAAAACAGAGGTTCTCTAAAACTTTTGACTGTTTCTGTGTTGTCAGATTGTTCAATGTGTTTCTTAATTTGCAGCAGTTTCTCTTGATGCGTTGACAAAGTCATGGAGATGGTTACTTCACTTTCTCGTGGTGTTGTCCTCTTGCATTTGTTTTCTTAGGTTTCACTGAGACCCAGTCAACAAACTTTGTAAACTTGTACAAAGAAGTGTATTTGAAGAAAACACAGTAAAATGATGTTTAAAATATGGCGCTGCACCGGTAAGAAGTTATTTGAGAGAACTTAGTCACCTGCAGAAACATCAGAGCCGAGCATGGAGAAGTTTGTTTGTACACTTGACTCGGGGTTCTGTTTCAGGTCATTTTGTTGCGTAAAGCTTTGTGCTCATTTCTGGTTTGGTTATTTTTAGATGTGATTTACAAACTGGGCCGGTCAACTTGTCCACGTGCGTCTCGTGCTGCGAGTTCTTGCTGTCCAGAGAAAGGAGCAGAAAAGACAGAATATAGACAGTGTGCTGCATCAGCTTAGAGGGCTACCTCAGGATAAATAAATATAGCTTTGTGTCTCAGGCCATGTATGGATCTCACATACAGCAGCACCATGTGGGAGTAGACAGTGATAAAACAAAAAGGTGACAGACCAGATACAGAAATACAGGGGAAAAGACAGACTACAATAAGAGGCTATCCTAACCCTGAGACATTTTAAACTTTGGTTGCACAGCACAACAACATAGAACAGTGTGTCTTTGTCATTTATGTAATGCAATCTGATGACACGCTTGGTCATTTCAGTCATGTATTTACTCACATCACATTTGACAGACATCACACTGTATCTTCTCTGTTAGCAGCAACCTCCAAATAACTACATGATAAATACTTAGTTCTGTACAAAATGATATATGATATATGCATGTTGTACTTAGCTTTAATATGTTTTGTCTCCTCTCTCACAGCCGAGTTCGACCATCAGCTGGTGCGATCAGCTCCCCACGTCCTCAGCAGCCCTCTCCAGCTCCAGTCTCTCCTCAACGTCACTCTCCAGCTCCAGTCTCTCCATGGAGTCCCGAGCGCCGGCACCGGCGACAACGGCGTCAGACGACATGGAGTCAGACGAGAGACCGTACGTGTGCGACCTGTGCAGCTGTGCCTACAAGCACGCCAGCTCCCTGCTCAACCACAAGCTCACCCACAAAACTGGAGACTTCAGGTAAGGACTAAGAATATTCTGTCCTCCAGGCATCCACTGTTTTCAGCTGATGTCAGTAAAGATGTTGTTGAGCAGGACTCAGAACTCCTGACACCTCAGTGTATGTCACTGTACATGGAGAGCATGAGTGAAATACCTGAAACATCAGAACCCCTTTTCTGTGGTGACCCAGAAGGTCAAAAACACAACAGCAGTTCAGAAAATACGACGTTTCACAAAACAAAACATTTCAGACTATGGGAAAAAAATTACTTAATTTACTTCTTGGGTGTGATTGGACAGAACGTAAATCCCTGGACACGGTTCAATGTCATTTCTATTGAGTTTTACTCTCAGCAGTGTCCTTATACTCTTCATGCCACCTTTGTTTTAATAAGGTCAAAGCCTGCCTCCAGAGCAATTGCAAAAATTTGGAGGGAACTGAAATTTCTTTCCACAATAAGGACAATACATAATTGCTCATAGAAAGGGGAGATGAGGCCATGGCCTGTCCAGCACAAACCCTAGTTGGAAATCGTACAACAACACAGAATAAAACCGCAGAGAAGAGGCAGCAGTAGGAAATTGTCTTGTCAAGGCGTCACTTTTTCAATAAAGCTAAAAGTCTAAATGTTCAGTCAGTCATCTAAGGGACTTCCATCCAGCTGACCAATGTAGTTAACTTTCACACAGCGAGACAGCCAATCACAGCACAGTTTACAGCTGATCCAATCTAACACCAATCTGCGTCAACACATCCACTGAATAAACTCTGAATTGACTTGAGTTCTGTCCAATCACAAAAGAGATGGCAGCGTGCACGATTTGCTGCAAGTAGTGGTTCTTTATTGGCTGTGTTTGTTTTGTCTTATTTTATATTTTTATCCTGAATGTTTGTGCCACTACAGAGATGCATTCATTTTAGTTGCATAGCTGTGCAGTGACAAATAAAGGCATTCTGTTCTGTTTGGTTAAATGTCACTCAGGGCCACCGTACTGTTCCTTCTCTAACCTCCGCACCGTTTTCATCTCCAAAACTCAGGTGCGACTTCTGCAGCAAGCCCTACACCAACTACATGTCCCTGCGCAACCACATGCGAATCCACGGTCAGAAGCGCTACATGTGTGACTTGTGTGGGAAGGCCTTCCGTCTGGCCCGGTACCTACGTAACCACCAGAGGATCCATGACGACGGGCCCAACCGCTTCGACTGTCCCTCCTGCTGCAAGAGCTACAGGACCATGCTGGAGCTGGCCCAGCATCGCTGCACTGCCGCTGTGTCCAACCAGGTGTGTGTGTGTTGTGTGTGTTGTGTGTGTTGTGTGTGTTGTGTGTGTTGTGTGTGTTGTGTGTGTTGTGTGTGTGTGTGTGTGTGTGTGTGTGTGTGAAGCTGCTCTGAGAGGAGTGGATGATGTGTGTCGGGCTGCATTAATGTTGATACTGTCTCAATTCTGTGAGAGTCTGAACATTTTCTTTCTAAGTGAAATGTGATATTTATTTCAAGGTGTGTTGAAAGTGACTGATACTGAGATCAAATTCATGAACCACAGCTTCTCTCAGAGGAGGTGAACAAAATTATTGCTCATCTCCTGATCAGCTGTTCCTCTGTGATGTGTCTGACCTTTGCTCTTCTCTCCTTTTACTCATCTTGTTTCTAAACAGCTGTAGTCTGTCTTCTATATTAACAGTAGTATGTGATTTATTAAGTCTGAAATTACATAAACCAGTGAAATCAATGCAAAAATCAGAGTGTGTTCACACAAGATGACATACAACTAATGGTACTGAAAAGACTAAAACAGCTGATCACTGTAGCTTTTAGCAAACATTACTCAAACGGAAATGGTGCATTTTTTTGGGGCTATTTTCAGTGACTGATTAAACGCACAGTCTGTAACTTCTGCCTCTAGGGGTCTCTCAAAAACAAAACAATAACAAAAGATGCCCCTTGGTGATGTCGTGAAGTAGCGTGGGATCTTGGGAGTTGTTGTATTCACCACCTTTGCAGTGAGCTTCTCCTCCTCCACATAACAAACAGACCTGGTGATTATAACCTGTGAAAACACTGAACGTTTCACTTTAAAAATCAGAGACTAACAGGCGCTCTTCAGTGGACACAGGACAGGACATCTCCAGCAGCTGGGAGCTGAGCTGTCTAACATTTCCTCAGCTTGTTTCTCTGAGAACTTCAGATCCAGACGTCCGACGACTAAAATCCTTCATCTGGTTCAAACATAGAGCTGAAAACCACCAAGGTGTAAAAAGTGTATGTGGCTTAAAATTAGATAAAAGTCAACGTTGAGCTTCTGTCAGACAAACATAACACTGACACATGTGCATAGAGGATATGATGTCATTGACAGGCAACCAGTGAAACATTACCATAATTAAAATCACAGATTTCACTGGTTTGAAAATTGATGGAAACATTTCGTAAAATATGTAAGAACACAACTCAACAAAATATAGAACATAGATCTAGTTGTTTTTTAGACATTTTCATGTGGAAATGTTACAGTTTACAGCTTTGATACACAAGAAAAATATAGAATATGACTACACTTATACATTTTAGAGAGTTGTGTAAGTGAAATAACTTTAAGGAGCAAGTTGCTTCAGCAGGACGACAGAATATCTCACATGTGACCTGTCCCACCTCAGCCTCCCTTCATGAAGGCACCCTGACAAACCACTTGGTGGCTCTAGTGCAAAAGGGCCAGAGCCCTCCAGGCCCCTGTGATTTTTAATGCAGTGATTATTTTAGTCTGAACACTCGTTAAAGTTGTTTTTCCTCAGCACGGTAGCGACTCGACTAAACTCAACTCTCCTCTACTTGCTTTTGGTATCAGGTGTTCGCTTGGAACTTCAGCTGAGCTTATAACAAAGAAAAGTACCAGGTACAAGGCCATAGCCACAACCTTTGCCCCATGGAAAACCAATAAAGTTGAGTAAGGTTGAGCCAGTGCCATGTAGTGGAAAAATGTCCTGCTGCATCTACACACCTGGTCCTGACGTTTTCTGCTTGACACTAGTGCTCAGGTGTGTAACAGCATGTAACATCAGTCACTGCATGAGGTCTGACCAAGGACCAGTTGCAGAAACAAAAGGAGGGAACAGAAATCAGGCTTTTTGCTCACTAAGATCAAGTAGAAGTGTGTGTGTGTGTGTGTGTGTAGCTATAGCGTATAACACAACGTTTTCAGTTGGAATTAATTTAATTGGTGATTTCATTTGTAAATGTATTAAAAGTGAAGGTTAGTCTAATTTGTAAAAGAAAAATTAACAGGATTCGAAAATGTTTTTACATTTACTAATTTCTGCTCATACTTGCAGAGTCAGTAAACTCCTCAATAATGTCCCACTTAGATTTAAATTTAGTGATATTGCATAAAAGTAAAAAGACTTTGACTCTGTAAATTCTCATATGTGACGACATCTACAAACAGCAGAATCTAAGAAGTGAAGCTGATTAACACAGTAAATCACAATCTTGGAACAAAATTACTTTTTTTTTTTTTCTTCTTTTTTTTTTTAAAGGGCTTTTGAAAAGATCTTAAAATTAAACTTGGCATTTGAATTCTACATCCAAAATAATCCACTGTTAATCCCACTAATGCAACACTGTAATTGATCAGTAAGTGTGTGGGCCTGTGTGTGTGACGGTGTGTTTGGAAAAGTGTGTTGTGAACTAACTTGCCGACCGGCTGGTATCACAGTGTGAGAGAGGTGTCATATCCCTTTAATTACTGAATGAAATCAAAGCCTGTTAATATAAATGCAATTAATTAATGATACATATTCTTCACACAGGAAACCAAGTACACTGATACATTTAAACCAACCTGTGTGAAGAAAAACTGAAAGCTTAGGAGAGCAAGAGCCCACAGGCTAAATGCACTGTTGTAATGTAAGATAGAAGATGTCTCTGCTGCAGTTTACACTGACTTCATATCACTGATTTGATGGATTGGGGAGCGTGTTTTCCTTTAAGCCGCTAAAATACTGTTCAGAATGATGTGTAATTAATGATAAGCATTGTTCTCATTAAGTATGTTAACAAGGTGTATCACTGTTGTTCCTACACTAATGAGGAGCGTCACACTCTTTAACTAAACCCCTCCAGGTTAATCTTGTTTTTTAAATGAATCTCCACCTGGTCTTAAAGGTGAGACTCAGTGTTTTATTTCTGTGAAATATTTGCATCAAGTTGGAGGAGCCACAAGGGACAGGTTAGAAAAGGACGCTCAAAATTTAAGCAGCAGATGGCAGAACATGAATATATGTTTATAAAGTATGTGTGTAGCGTGTGTGTGTGTGTATATGTATGTATATATACACTCACCGGCCACTTTATTAGGTACACCTTGCTAGTACCGGGTTGGACCCCCTTTGCCTTCAGAACTTCTTCGTGGCATAGATTCGACAAGGTGCTGGAAACGTTCCTCAGAGGTTTCGGTCCACATTGACATGATAGCATCACACAGTTGCTGCAGATTTGTCGGCTGCACGTCCATGATGCAAATCTCCCGTTCCACCACATCCCAAAGGAGCTCTATTGGATTGAGCTCTGGCGACTGGAGGCCATTTGAGTTCAGAGAACTCATCGTCATGTTGAAGAAACCATTGATTGAGATGATTTCAGCTGTGTGACATGGTGCGCTATCCTGCTGGAAGTAGCCATCAGAAGATGGGTGCACTGTGGTCATAAAGGGATGGACATAGTCAGCAACAATACTCAGGCAGGCTGTGGCATTCAAACAATGCTCAACTGGTACTAAAGGGCCCAAAGTGTGCCAAGAAAATATCACCCCACACCATTACACCACCACCAGCCTGAACCGTAGATACAAGGCTGGATGAATCCACGCTTTCATGTTGTTTTCGCCAATTTCTGACTCTGTCATCCGAATGTCGCAGCAGAAATCGAGACTCATCAGACCAGGCACCGTTTTTCCAATCTTCTATTGTCCAGTTTTGGTGAGCCGGGGCGGATTGTAGCCTCAGTTTCCTGTTCTCAGCTGACAGGAGTGGCCCCCGGTGTGGTCCTCTGCTGCTGTAGCCCATCTGCTTCAAGGTTTCACGTGTTGTGCGTTCAGAGATGCTCTTCTGCATACCTCGGTTGTAACGACTGGTTATTTGAGTTACTGTTGCCTTTCTATCAGCTCGAACCAGTCTGGCCGTTCTCCTCTGACCTCTGGCATCAACCAGGCATTTTGGCCTTGTTATATATACACACTCGACGAGCAGCTAATTCATGCAATTATTAAATAAATATTAAGCAGCCAATCATGTGGCAGCAGGGGAATGTATAAAATCCTGCAGCTACAGGCCAGAAGCTTCAGTTAATGTTCACATCAAACATCAGAATGAGGAAAAAGTGGGATATCAGTGACTGACTGTGGCATGATTCGTGGTGACACAGGGTGGCTGAGTATACATGGTCAAAGTAAAAACATCCAGTGAGCATCAGTTCTGTGGACAGAGACACTTTTCTGTCAGCTCTAACCACATAATCTTTTTCTACCAAGAACATGCAACATCAGATAACATTACTGACAGACACATAACTTTGATATTCAGAGGATGATTGAGTCATTTGACCTGTTGCACTCCTATTCATAAGAAACAGCTTGCAGAAGAAACTGCTTTACTTAATCAGGAGATGCAGTGTGTGCTCCCATAGATGCAGGTTGTTGAATAAGACTTTGCATTAAAATATCTTCATATGTCTTTCACATTGTTTTAATTCATACATATAAAACGTAAAACATCATACTTCTCGTTATCAGAGGTAAGTTTTCATTTTTGTTTATGCCCCCCCCCCATATACATATACATACATACACACACACACACATATATATATATATATATATTTGAACTGTTGTCACAAGGTTAGTTGTACTTGTGACGAGGAACCTGAAGTTACCGTGTAAAGTTGGTGGAATACACTACAAACTATCAGTGACAGCAGTGCTGTTTGTCCTCTTGTGCATTAATTGGATCAACTTTTTTAACAATTTCAACATAAAATGAATGAAATAGCGTTTGTATCTTTTCTGAATCTGTGGTGAAGTAATTGGCCCAGTACAGGGGAAACACTGGGGTGTGAGTGTTGATGTGCATGTATGATGAGGTATATTTTCTATTATATGCTTTGATGAAATGTGTGCATGTTACATAATGTAGCCCACTTCTCTTGACCCTCTGTCCTCTCTCCAGCCACAGTTTTTACTGGGCCCCACCCTCCTGTACTGAACGTGGAGTCAGGGTTAGACCAGGGTTAGGCTCAGTTTAGGCAAAGGGTCAGGGCTCAGATATCAGAGAATGGATGCACTTCAGTTGATTATCCTCACAAGTATAGTAATCCAATTATATGTGTGTTTGTGCGTGTGTGTACGTGTGTGTCTGTGTGTGCGTGTGGGGTTTGGTTCATAAGAACCGGTTCAACTGCCCGTCCTGCTTTAAGAGCTACCGAACCATGCTGGACCTGGCCCAGCACCGGTGCAGCGCTGCGACCAAAAACCAGGTTGGTGTGAGCATGAGTGAGCGTGTGTGTGTGTGTGTGTGTCTGTGTGTGTTGTGTGTGAGGCGGCGTCAGTGTAGCTGTGAGGAAGGGCCGACCTGTGCAGGAGTGTTATATGTGATGGTCACGATCAACTGGTTCAACCACCCCCTGCGCCTGTTTTTAAACTGCAGCCACTGTGTGGTGCTGTTGTTATTACAGGCAGCGTTTCAACATTAGAGTAAACACAGATGATGATGACCGATGTCAGAGTGTGTGTCTGACCATTGCATCTAAAATCTTAGTTTGGAAATAATTCAACTTTATCAGAAAGAGGGGAAATTCTATTTCCCTACAACTTGGGTCTCATGTTTGACCTCCAGTATTAAGGCTACAGTCCCAAGTATGCTGAATCCCCAGACATGCAACATTCAAACCTAATCCTGGGGCCCCGTCTTGTAGCGGGGTCCTGAGTTTAAAGTCGAGTCTAGTTTAATATTTTACTATTTAGTATTTAAGTATTGTTAAATATTTAGTATTTATTGGACTTAGTTCTACTGTATTTCTATCAAATTGAGCTACCACAAAGTAAGTGGTCACAGCTCATCTTTGCCCAGGGGCCCTGTTGTGGATGAATCCAGCTCTGACCAGTAGGGTGTCCACAGGTCATGAATGGGTTTTGAACATGTCCATTTTATTAAAACTTCTTATTTTGGAAGTGAAAATGAAAGTACACATTAAAGAATAGGTTCTGTCTTTAATACTGACAGAGTGAACATATCTCTTATTAGCTGAAGCTGATCCGAAGCTTCATCAGTTTATTATTTTCTGTGCTTTTATTATGGAACTTCCTGCCCTTTTTAAATGTTAACCCAATGCATTATAAAAGTACTTCAACTTTAATTTGTCAAACTTGACTCAAGTGGTGAACGTAAAAACACAATTGATTGAATCGATGACTAGAAAGGTTCACTCACGTTTCCTTTTCACTTCCAAGTCAGTGTTCTGTATAAATGTATGAAACCACTGTCATTTCATTTTATGAACCCCACTGTCTCAGCAGGACATCTGGTCTGTAAAATGTAAACATCCGTGATATGAATGATGGTCTGAACTGTTAAGATAAGACCTGAGTTGTAAAGCAAAGACTGAATTTTCCTACAAGCATGATGAGGCAAAGTTAAAGCATAGAGGTCTCCTGTCGCTGCAAACCTCGAGGGAAAAGGTCGGTTAGAAGGTCAGGGTTAGCGGACAGGTTGACCAGACACACATCTTCTGTTGTTGTCATGGTTAGAGGAGACAGACACAGGTTAATGTTGGAAGTCGACATTCTGTTCAGCTATAATCTCTAGAGTTGGTCATTTGGCAAATCTTTGTGAGTGTATTTGTGTGTGTATGTGTGTGTGTGTACAACTTGATCACTCCATCTCCTCATGTCAGGGCAGTGAGATCTAAGGAGTCAGTCAGTATTGAGATGCATTAACTTCATTTACACTGAACAGTACAAGAAGCTTGGAGAATCTGATTCATTGTGGAGAGGAACAACAGTTCATCACATTCATCTGTCCCCTCTCCTCCGCTCTGTGACTTCTCTCTCTCTATCTCTCTCTCTCTCCCTCCCTCTCTCTCTCTCTCGTCACAAAGTCTCTGCATGAATGTGGCACAAACTGTGTAAAGACTGAAATGATTTTAAAACATCCCTCTTCCCCCTCTCTTTCTCTCTTCACCCCTCCTCCCATCCAGTCTGGCGGCCGTCGTTCCAATTTCTCCGCCAATCCTCGCCGTCAGCAACAGCAGCAGCAGAACAGTGCTAACTCCATGATGCAACCGCAGCATGGAGGACACGGCCAGCAGGATCCTCTGCCCTCCCACTGCGTGTCGCCAATGTCTCAGGGAGGGCAGGGCGGCAGCCAGTCTGTGCCTGACCCCCACCAGGTAGGGAGGAGAAATCAGCTCACGTGCCACGTCCACACTACTATGTTTTCGTTTTAAAACGCATCTCTTCTGCTACCTTTCCCCGTCCTGTCCACACAACTCTGGCTTTTTCGAGCACTGAAAACAGGGACTTCTGGAAACGCTGCTGAACCTGTTTTAGTTTGAAAGCTCTGTGGGGTTGTGTTGTCGTCCGGACAGGCGAAAATGGAGACATTTGGAATGGATGACATAGACACCCACGGTCGCTCCCTGATTGGGCCTCGACTACAAGTGATGAAAGCAACATGAATTATAAATTACAAGTGTTACTGACCTTGTTGTTTTTGCTAGTAGCAGCTCGTCAGTTAAATTCTGCATTTTAAAGCTACAACTCTCTTTGCTGTTCCTCGTTCAGAGGATTTTTTTTGCAACTAATCAACTGCAGAAGAGACAATCTGCTTCCTGTTTACACTGGCTCACGCATGTCCAGTGGATGTGAATGCTCATGTATGTGTGCATTTTCAGGTGTGGTAGTCAAGCAAGGATTGTTTCTGATATGGAGAAAATGAAAACATAATAGTGTGGACGTAGTGGGCAGGACAAACACTGAGGGTTCATAATGTTGTTGATATGAGAGTGTGTTGACCTGTGTGTTCCTGCAGGGCCGTCCCAGCTCAGTGTCCTCCCAGAGCAGCCAGCAGAGCATGAGGAGCTCGTCCTCCAACAAACACGTCTCCTCCTCCAGCGCCACCCCATCCTCCTCCTACTCCCTGCTCCAGCCCCTGGTGCCTGAGGTAAAGGAGATGAGCTCGGGATACACTAGGCTGAGCGCCAACCCCATGGTAGGAGAGAGAACCGCCACACACCCGCTGTCCGCTGGCTAGCTGCCTTCTCCCTGTCTGCCTACTAACATCAGGAGAGAGGGACTAATGTGTCAGTGCTTCATGTGTCCACTGGGACTCTCTGCTCACTGATCACTGTTTCAGTAGAGAGATAAAGTCATCTGCTCTCTGTCTATAGAGAGGCCTGGTGGACACGGTCTTCTTCGTAAATCTTTTGGGTTTTAGTCTGTTGGTGTCATTCAAAATGCTCTTGGGACACTGATGGAAATATGACTTCAAGCTTTGATACAGAGCAAAATGACCCGCTCAAAACATAAGGTGTCCTGTCACGGCTTACACTTGGCCAGTGTGTGCTACACAGATAAATGCCACTCTGTTCTGTTTTTATGTTGGATTTGAGTCTAACTTGCAGTTCAGAAAGACCAACAGAGTGGTGAGTCTGTCTGTATATAGACAATCTAGTGTCAGCCTCGCTGTGTACATCGTTTTCCAGACGCATACACACTCAAGTCCTGGCCAACAACTAAAGCCAGTAGATGTAGACAATAGTCAAACTGTCCCTGGTATCCTTTTAAGCAGATTGCATCAGTGTTGGAAAGTAGTTATTTAAATCAGGGTCTCAGAGCTGCAGAGCTGCTCGACCCAGGACAAAAAAGAGAGCTGGGTTACATGTAACCATAGCAACAGCCATCACATCACAAAGGTAGTCTGAGGGTAAAGAAAGTAGTCTGAGGGTAAACGTTGACATTTCTCTCCAACAAATCTCCCAGTGCCCAGAGAAGAAAACCAACAGACTCAAATTCAGTGGATGAGTATTTCCTTTGCTTGGGCTCTAAACTGTTGATCGACTCTGGCGGTAGGAAGCTCTCTAACACTACTAACTGGGGGCTGTGCTGTTAACTTTCACTCTTTCACACTAATCATTCACTCAGCTTGTGTTGTACATCTCAGTGTCGTAGTTTTGGGCTGCACATGAGTCATTCTTCTTCATAACATTTTACTATTTTTTCATTCACGATTCAGTTCTGTGGTTAAACTGTTGAGATGCATCAAGTCTGATGATCAGCCGCGACAGCATGGCTGGTATTATTTTCACCGTGTGTGTGTGATAAGATGCAGTCAAGTTCAAAGAAGGGTTGGAACATCAACATGTTGACAGGCGTTGTGTTGGTGTAGTCTGACTCACAGGATGTAGGTTTCAGGTATAAAGTCGGCCATTGGGCCTTTCTACTTCCCCTGCCTGTGAGCGTTTTAAAATCCGCTTCACTACGTAGAACAACAGCCTCCGAGCAGCAACCCGCATGATGAAATTACTTAATTTGCATGGTGCCTTCACACCGTCGACGTACGTGAATCAGCTGTTTTAAAGTGATAGTTCAGGTTATTTGACACGGGGTTGTGTGAGGTCCTTATACATAGTCGGTGTATGCACCGGCACAGAAGCTGACAGATGTGCTGCTGTGGACGGGGTCAGCTGCAAAAATGTGTTATAGCCACTTTAAAAAAAAAAAAAAAAAATGCCCACAGAAAAAGGCTAATATCAGTTGAAGTGTACGTTAGGGCTCAATATCGCCACTGATTTCCTGAATCGATTCAGTTAGAGATATTTCAGTTACAATAACAGTTTTGCTTAGATATGAATGAGATTCTCAGAGAACTAATGCTGTATCTTGTTCTTCTAACCTGGTGCATTATTTAAAATATTAATGTTTATATTAGGAACGGAGCCCAAAGCAGTTACATTAATTGATTACATTAACTTTTTCATTCAACATGGCCAGCAGTTCAGACCCTGTTATTTCTCTAGAAATAATAGGTAGGTAAGTGATGTGCGTTGCTAATGTACCCTGGTGCACCGGCTACAGAGTGAACTAACAGGTACACACAGCTGCTTCTTCTGTCAGCTTCTGAAATCGAAGCACGTCTGACTTTAGACCTGTGTCCTCAGTGGAGTCACGGCTGCCATGTTTTTGTCTCTCTCTCGTGACCAGATCTCGTTGTGCGAGAGGGCCGGTCACGAGAGACTTATGAGGTTACAGCCTGACACATCCACAGGAGACTGTAAAAGACGTATATTAAAAGATCGATCTCTGGATTTTATGAATCGATATGGGATTATTCAAATGAAGATCGTTTTGAATTGGAGAATCAACTTTTTTTTCTATCCAGCCCTAGTGTACGCTATATTATGAATATTTTCACCTCTTTATCTTGCCTTTCCTGTGGCATTACATTTTGTGAACCGTTGAACTACTGCGTTCCTACACCGTGCTAAGATCTACCAGGGCCTTTATGAGTAAACGTGCAGACACACAGTTTGTTCCCACAGAGGAAGATTTCAATCCTTCTCATCTGCAGCAGTGTTTTTAGTTTTTCTGAACTCATCTTTTCTTCATCTATAGGCATCAGTTGGTGTTTTTTAATTTGAAAACTTCACTCCACTGACAGGAATTCTCTTTCTCTTTCTCTCTCTCTCTCTCTCCCCCACCTCCTCTCAGCCGAAGCACCAGGACACTTTCTCTCTGGCCCCCCAGCGGCCCCTAACCACCATCAACCCCATTGGCCACTCCCTTCATCCGAACGGAGCACCCACGCTCAAGCCTTCCCCTGTGCCACGCACCATCCAGGCCATGCCCTGGGAACAGCGCTCCCTCTACAATCAATGAGACCCCCCCCCCCCCGGAATCAATCACCCCACCTTCACGTCGCATCCACCACCACCCCTACACATCCTCCTCCACCTCCTCCTCCCCACCCCTTTTTGGATCCAGCATCAAGGACGGAGGACTTTGGAGGCCCCTCCACACCTCACCCCTCCTTCGGAACATTGTGTTTGGGATCAGGGAAGGGCACTATTGAGAACTAGTTGAGATTGATTACTGAGTAGTTAGGTTAAAAAAATGTGTTGCCTTGACCCTAATGTATGATCTATGCCATGTACTTGATATAAGTTAAAATGTCCCCACACCAAGAATTTATCTCCCCCTCCTTCTCTCCCACTCTAGTTATGAAAATATCTATCCTTCCCATTATGAATAGTGTCTCTCCTCACCCCCTCCCCCCTTTATCCATATGTTAAATGAAACAAAAGGCTATTTTTTATCAAGAGTGTGTTTCCAACCCTGAACCCTGAAGTTGTCAAAGTAAATGTGACAAAAAGTCCCTTCAGTTTGATATGTTTTTGAACATAAAACCCAATTTTTTTTTTGTAAAATGAGGCTTCTGGAAAGTAAAGGGAAAGGGGGAAACATGAACTTTTTTTTTTATTTTATTTTTTTTTTTACGTACCCCTTTAACATGCTCCAGAATGAACATTGTGTATATTGTACGTTAGGAGGTGTCATGACTATTTCAGAAAGTTGTTTCCGTTCTATTTGACGTTACAGCACCCACACCTCTCGTCTCTGAGCACCAACAGCAAGGACCACGACTGACAACTGTTGTTCAGCAAAAAAAAAAAAAAAAACATGTTTTGACAGTATACGTGCCAGTTTGACTTCTCTGTGTTTGTGAAGACTGAAGCCCCGCTGTTGAAAAGGACCTCTTCGCCAACCAGCCACGGATATAAGGACAGTTTGGTGCGGTTTCCTTCTTTCAATACACAACTGAGAGCTCACACTTCCTGGTGGCATGTCGACACTGTCGTTTTAATAATATAAAGATAACAGGACAAAGCTGTGTCCCAATTCAGGGGCCGCATCCTTCAGAGGACGCCGTCTTAGACCGTGAAGGCCGAACCAAAATGAGATGGTCTGGTCTATGCAGGATTTTTGCTGTGCATCACCAGCTGTGCCCGCCCTAACTCTTAAGGTCGCCTAGCAACCTTGACGACACGTCTTTTTTTTTTTTTTTTTTTTTTTTTTTTACAATAACTTGAGGTTTTAAGGCCCTTGGTTTTAACAGTTGTACCATTAGCTGTTGAACTGAGCTGAAACCCAATACTTATATTTAAAAGTGTAATCCTCAGGCTCTGTCAGTGTTTTTTGACTTCATTACCAGCACGCAATGAATCTTGGGATAGGTTGGGCCACAAAGAATCCACATGTTGGCGCCTTCATTGCCTAGGAAAAGAAGGCTGCAATTGAAGGAGCCTTCGAAATGGGACAGTGTAGTTGCACCACTGCGATGCAGTCGGACTTCAAACACAGCCTCTGAAGGATGCAGCCCCTGAACTGGGAAACAGCTCACGTCTCCAATCCCCCCCCCCCCCCCCCCCCCCCCCCCCCCCCCCCCCCCCTTTTTTTTTTTTTTTTTTTGTTCCTAACTGACCATTAACATGTTTGTTCCTTTCACTTTAAAGCACTTTAAGACAAGTGCTGTATTACTTTTGCGTCTGCCACCCACCCCCATCCTCTACCTAGAGCTGTGTCGGCTAAAAAGATGTAACTTTGCCTTACATCAAACCATCAAACACCCCCCCCCCCCCCCCCCCCCCTCGTCCCCCCCCCCCCCCCCCCCCCCCCATCAGAACTCCACTGATCACCAGTGACTTAGCAGCAGAACTGGGCCTGGTTTGCGCCCATAACATGGCTGCAACTGCAGTGGCCAAAAAACAGTATGTCTGCAGCTCCACCCAACCCCAACTCCACCCCTCCCCTCGGCTCCAACACACCCTCCAGTGTTGCTTTTCTTGTAGAAAGAAAAACCGTTAAGGCTGCATCTCACTGCTCCCAGGACGGATTCAGTTAACACCTACCTGCAGGGTGTTTCAATAAGCAGCCAATCACGGTTGGCCGGATAAATCCAAGTGTTTTGTAAACAGTCAATTTGATGAATAACAGTTAAATCATGGATCCAGTAGGTAGTTACATTAGGTTATCTTGCTAACATGGTGCTCATTGAAATACCCACAATTCTACTGACATTGTATTTTCTCTTTTAAAAGTTGTTTCTATTTTTATTCATGACATGTTTTCATTGTTGCTTTCTCTCTCCTTGTAAAGTGTCTTTGAGTATTTAGAAAAGTGCTATACAAATAAAATGTTTTATCATTATCACCATCAGTGCTGCACTTCCTCCGCTCACAGCAGAATCAGGGATGCAAAACAGTCATTTTCTACATTTATTGTTTCATTAACAAAATGTTAAATCAATAATAATTTATCAGCCTGAGGTCATGTTTTTATACGGTTTCATTTATTAAATGTCCAAAACCCCAAATATTCAGTTTTATCTTTATTAAAAAGACATCAACCCTCACATTTTAGAAGCTGTAACCAGGGAATGAAAATTATTAACCAACCATCAAAATATTTGCTGATTGATTTTTGATAGCTAATTGTTGCAGCTATAATTAGAAGTAACATTAAACTTATCAATGCTGCTTTTTAATTTTTAAATGAACATTCATTTTTTGAGAACTAAAAAGCCACATGTAGATATTTTACATGGTAATTAAATGTATTTTGACAGCCGATCTCAGAATAACAAGTTTGAACATATACAACTATCAGCTTCACCTACGGATGGAGATTGTGTGATAGGTCAAAAGCTCCAGAACAAGCAGGTAAGTGGACCTTGAGTGACAACCAAAACTATCTTCAGTTGTTTCCCACATCTTTAATGTGATTTTATGTTCATTTCCCAAGAGTTTGAAAACAGACACCACAGGCCGATGACTTCCTCTCAGTTTACCTTCAGACAGACTTTGCTTATTTTTTGACTCAATTCAGAGACTTTTGAGCCGAGCTGAGATCTTTAAAACTACTGTGAATGAGTTAATATGTGACACAACCAAATAACACTTCAGCATCATCAGAAGGCGCACACTTTAACTTTTTTCTCTAAAATGGATGTGACTGTGTCTTCAACAAGAGTTACTCCTCAGGTACAGGTGAGTATTTACAGTTGAGCACTGATGACACCTCATACATCCTCTGTTAATTGGGTTGATAACATATGAGGACACTATGACCGATCATCCAGTTACTATTGATCACAACACGTAAATGTTACATTTAATGTACGTTTTCTTTCCAGGTTTCCTCCAGACATGTTTTAAGAGATAAAGTATCCAGAATCTATCAGTATACACATACTGTTCATTTCCTGCTTCACTGAGAAGTTCTCTCCAGTTTTCAAGTTTCCATATCACACAGGTGTAAGTACTGGACTAATGATGTCACAAAATCCAGATGCTGCTTCCAGATGTGAATGTTATGTTTAAGGTTGAGCACAGAGAAATGATGATGAATGTTGCTGTGCACAAACATCACAGAGAAAGCAAAAACATTTCTGAGTGGATTACCAGCAGTGTTCCCCACCAATTGTAAAGTCTCATATAAAGTAATGTCTCTTATCACACTTGTATATATGAATGAGTTGTGAGCATTTAAATATTTCTTATAGGCTAGAAGAGGTAAAACTTCCCAGTATTTCACAAAAATAATTCAGAAAAAAATCTTTATGTGTAGCAGAATGTGGTTTTGTGATCTTCTCTGTCCTGTTAATCATCTAACAACTCCTGAGGCTAATTTTCTGACCCATTCATTTACTTTACCACCCAAATTGGGAGATAGCAGCCCACATGATCAAGTCAACTTTACAGTCCAAAGCATCATGTGTCTGACAATACATAGTCAAGCAGACAAAAGTCCTGGGGGCCCAAAAGCCCCAGGTTGTGGTGTGTCAATTAGTTGTAAATAATTGAATTGCAGGAATTGCAACACTATAATAAAGTATAATATCAACTATGCATTATTAAAAACCTTATGTCCTGTTCTTATAAAGAGGTCCTGCGTCAAAATTTGTATTATTTGATGTAATACAGTGCATTTTCCTAAATGAAGATGATGATGTTTTTAATGAAATTATCATCCAGAAAACATGAGTCAGGTGATAACATCCAGCATTAGGAGCTGGTGGCTGGGTGGGTCTCTCTGTATAATGGTGTGAGCTGTCTGCACTGGATTTACTGGGAGCTCGGAGGTCACATGGGGGTAAAACAACTTTTGCCCCTGGCCCTGTAACAAGTTAAGCCATGTTGTCAGAGGAGGATTCCTCCATGTTCAGTCCCATCATGTGTTGCTGTTAACAGACTTTGGTCTAGGAACTCATGACAGAGTTGTCATACACAAATGTGTAAATAATACAAAGTGTTAAAAATAAAACTGCTTAAAACCCAGACTCGTGTAATTGTGTTTGAATGTTACATCTATTTTTTTCCAAAATCTTAAAGACACGTGGTTTCAGAGCAGTTTCTTCTTCTTCTCATTATTATTGGTATAGAAGATAAATTGTTTTATTTCCCGGGTGTCACTCTGAAGTCAACAGGTTTCATTCAACCCTTGTTATACTTCACCAGGCTGTGCGCGTGTGGCGGGAGCGCGCATTAAAACCCAACTTTTAAAGAAATGAATGAACCGACTCGCGCTCTTTTATCGGCCCGATTAAAGACTTTGACGTCATCCATAGCGCGGGACTCCGGTGCAGATTACACCGAATTAAAATCCACTAATCGGTGGTCGGGTCGTTAGTTCGGTGTCAAGGCTCGTTACCGATGAAAAATCGTTAGTGTTTTCGATGACCGGGATCGTTTGGGAGTGTGAGGGCCTCGGCGGATCCAGCCCCGGTGTCAGAGCGGCTCAGGGCCGGGGCTGCACACACAGACAGCTGGTAAAGATAAAAATGATTTGTGACGCTAATAATCTGCATAAAGAGCTGGTTA